GGGTCGCAGGGCGGGCACAGGGAGTCCCAGGGCCACGCCTGACCCCTGAGAGCCCGAAGGGGCGGTGCTCACAGACCTCTCTCCGGTATCCCGGGACCGGTGACATCTAGGAAACCGGGGGACTGCGGCCGGCCTCACCCTTCCTTCCTGTCCCTTCCTCCCCACAGCCGGCGGCTGCTGAGCGAGTTCTCGGGGCGCTCGCTTGGCCGGGTGTTTAGCTGCGGATGCGGGAAGGGTGGAGATTGCTGCAGTGAGCGCGCCCCGAGTGTGCCCCCGGGAGTGGGCGCCCCCGGGCACGGGCGCCCCCGGGCACTGGAAGCGGTTTTGTCTCCCCAGATGGGCGCTGCGGAGTCGGGAGGCCGCGTGTAGCCTCTAGCTGGGGTCTGCAGAGCCGCCGGGGGGTCCGCAGCCATGGCGCAGCCCGCGGCTTTAGTCCTCGAAGTCCCGGAGGCCGCAGGGGACGCAGAGTGAGTCCCGGGTGCGGGTGGTCTGGGTGTCCCCCGCTGTGTGACGCCTTCCGGAGGAGGAGGAGGTGGACGAGGAGGACGAGGAGGACGAGGAGGACGAGGGGGGAGCGGGGAGCGGGCTGGGGCGCGGACTCCCACACCCATCCTCCCGGGCAGCCTGGAGCTCAGCCCTTGCGAGGAGAGCGACGTGCACGACTCCTTCCACCGCCTCATTCAGGAGCAGAGCCTGCGGGTGGCCGAGGAGGGGCTGGAGCTGCTGCCCCGGGGGGCTGCAGGTGAGCGCGGGCCGTACACTCGGCCTGGGACATCGGCCTTGCACGGTGCACGCCTGGGGTGGCCGGGCTGGGCCGGGTGACGCAGCGGCAGCGTCTCCTTCGTTCCTAGGCAGAGGCCGCCAGACCCTCCCGAGGCCCGCAGGTGCCCCGGTCCACAGCTCGGCCACTCTCCGCGTCCTGGCCAGCATGCCGAGCCGCACCATCGGTGAGTGTGCCCGGCCCCGGCCCAAGGCGGGCTCTGGGCTCCAGCCTCCCCGTGGCTGAAGCTCAGCACCGTCCTGTGTCACACTCACCGTCCTGTGTCACACTCACCGTCCTGTGTCACGCTCACCGTCCTGTGTCACTCTCACCGACCTGTGACACACTCTCCGTCCTGTGGCACGCTCACCCCCGTGTCACACTCACAATCCTGTGACACACTCACCGTCCTGTGACACGCTCACCCTCCTGTCACACTCACCGTCCTATGTCACACTCACCGTCCTGTGTCACACTCACCGCCCTGTGTCATGCTCACTGTCCTGTGACACACTCTCCGTCCTGTGGCACGCTCACCCTCCTGTGGCACGCTCACCCTCCTGTGGCACGCTCACCCCCGTGTCACACTCACAATCCTGTGACACACTCACCCTCCTGTGACACGCTCCCCCTCCTGTCACACTCACCGTCCTATGTCACACTCACCGTCCTGTGTCACACTCACCGTCCTGTGTCACGCTCACCGTCCTGTGACACACTCTCCGTCCTGTGACACGCTCACCCTCCTGTCACACTCACTGTCCTATGTCACACTCACCATCCTGTGACACACTCCCTGTGTCACACTCCCCCTCCTGTCACACTCACTCTGTCACACTCACCGTCTTGTGTCACACTCACCGTCCTGTGTCACGCTTACCTTACCCCTGTGACTCTCACCCTCCTGTGTCACACTCACCCTCCCGTAACACTCACCCCCTGTCACACTCACTCTGTCACACTCACCGTCCTGTGACACGCTCACCATCCTGTGTCATACTCACCCTCCCGTCACACTCATCCTCTGTGACACACTCCAGAATCCTTGCTGGATTCTAAGCATGGTGGCGTTTGTCACCGGGGTAAAAACAGCTGGTGAGGCTGTCCAGTGTCAGCACAAGTCTGTTTATCTTTTATCCTCAATAGATTTTTTATTGAGCTATGCGTTTCCCCCACTACGCTCCCCCCTCCCATCCTCTCCTCCTCCCCCCATCTTTGGCTCTCTTGTGTGTGTGTGTGTGTGTGTGTGTGTGTGTGTGTGTGTGTGTGTGTGTCTTAGGGCCCTCCGTGTTACCTAGGTTCTCTGGGGTTGTAGACTGTAGGCTGGTTGTCCTTGGCTTCATGTCTAATGTCCACTTAGGAGTGAGCACATATTATATTTGTCTTTCTGGGTCTGGGTTGCCTCACTCAGGATGGTTTCCTCTAGTTCCATCCATTTGCCTGCAAATTTCAAGATGTTGTTATTATTTTAGTGCTCCATTGTGTAAATGTACCACATTTTCTCCATCCATTCCTCAGTTGAGGGGCATCTAGGTTGTTCCCAGGTTCTGGCTATTACAAACAATGCTGCTGTGAACATCGTTGAGCAGGTGTCCTTGTGATGTGAGGGTGCGTCCTGTGGGGTAGACTGATTCCTAATTTTCTGAGAAACCACCACACTGATTTCCAAAGCGCTTGTACAGGTTGCCACTCCCACCAGCAGTGGAGCAGTCCTCTTACTCCTCATCCTCTCCAGTGCAGGCTGTCATCAATATTCTGACAGGAGTAAGATGGTGCCTCAGAGTGGTTTTGATTTGCATTTCCCTGATGGCTAAGGATCAACAGCAGTTCATTAAGTGTCTTTCTGCCATTTGAGATTGTTCTGTTGAGAGTTCTCTGTTCAGTGCTGTACCCCATTTTTTAGATTGGATTATTTGGTCTTTTGATGTCTAGTTTCTTGAGTTCTTTGTATATTTTAGAGATCAGCCCTCTGTCAGATGTGGGGTCGGTAAAGATCTTTTCCCAGTCTGTGGGCTGCCGTTTTGTCTTGCTGACCGTGTTCTTTGCCTTACAGAAGCTTCTCAGTTTCAGGAGGCCCCATTTACCAATTGTTGCTCTCAGTGTCTGTGTTATTGGTGTTGTATTTAGGAAGCGGGTCTCCTGTGCCAGTGTTTCAAGGCTACTTCCCACTTTCTCTTCTGTAAGGTTCAGTGTGGCTGGATTTATGTTGAGGTCTTTGATCCATTTGGACTTGAGTTTTGTGCGTGGCGATAGACATGCATCTTTCTGCAGTCTTCTCCATGTCAACATCAGTTATGCCAGCACCATTGTTGAAGATGCTTTCTTTTTTCCATTGTATAACTTTAGCTTTTTTGTCAGAAATCAGGTGTTCATAGGTGTGTGGGTTGATATCAGGGTTTTCCATTTGATTCCCTGGTCCACATGTCTGTTTTCATGCCAATACCAAGCTGGTTTTTTTTTTTTTTTTTTTTTTTTTTTTTTTTTTTGGGGTGTGTGTGTGTTTTTTTTTTTTTTTTTTTTTTTTTGTTTTTCCTGTAGCTCTATAGTAGAGCTTGAAGTCAGGGATGGCGATGCCTCCAGATGATCCTTTAATGTTTGTTTGGTTATCCTGGGAGTTTTGTTTTTCCATATGAAGTTGAGTATTATTCTTTCAAGGTCTGTGAAGAATTTTTCTGGGGATTGCATTGAATCTGTAGATTGCTTTTGGTACAATTGCTATTTATACTATGTTGATCCTACCTGTCCAAGAGCATGGGAGATCTTTCCATTTTCTGATGTCTTCTTCAATTTCTTTCTACAAAGACTTAAAGTTCTTGTCATAACAGATCTTTCACCTGTTTGGTTAGAGTTACCCCAAGATATTTTATGTTACTTGTGGCTATTGTGAAGGGTGATGTTTCTCTATTTCTTTCTCATCCTGTTGATCTTCTGCATATGGGAGGGACTACTGATTTTTTTTTTTTTTTGAGTTAATCTTGGATCCTCAGTAGCACACATCTTTAATGCCAGCACTGGAGAGGCAGAGGCAGGTGGATCTCTGAGTTCAAGGCTAGCCTGGTCTATAGAGTTCTAGGACAGCCAGGGTTCCAACAAAACTAACCAAACTGGTAAAGGGATTTTCCCCAGCCCTGGGAAGTTCTGAGGGACAGGACAGGGATGTGAGGCTGGTCCTGTCTTTGCCCTCTACTACCCTGCCATCTGTTTCCCAAGGTCGCAGCCGAGGGGCCATCATCTCCCAGTACTACAACCGCACAGTGAGGCTCCGTCGGCGCAGGAACAGCCGGCCCCTGCTGGGGAATGTGGTCCGCTCTGCCCGTCCCAGCCTTCGTCTGTATGACCTGGAGCTGGACCACACCGTCATGGAGGAGGATGGTGAGTGAATAAACTAGCTCGCCGAGGGTTGCCTGGCTGTGAGGCCCCTGGAGTATCAGAAGTGAGCTGCAAAGGTCTCCTCTAGGGCCAGTATGCCCCTCCCCACCTCCAGCATCCATCACTGACGATTGATGGTGGTCTGTAAGCCAGTCTTAGCTTACTTCCTGCTGGGAGAGCAGGAGACACGCTCAGATACAAGCACACTCAGAGCAGACACTGCAGGAGAGCCACCTGGGAGTGGCCCAGCCTGGGGCTCCAAGGAGGCTTCCTGGAGAAAGTGACTGGAGCTGAGGAAGCAAGTGCCAAGGCGCCAAGGCTGGAGCAGACTTGGCTTCATTCTCAGCCGCAGCAGCAGCCGGTGTGAAGAGGCTTCTGATGGTGGCAGTGGAGTGCTTTACAGTGTTATGGGTTCTGCGTACTGGTGACTCCCCAGCTTCTCCGTCTACTCTGCCACCTGGCCGTATTCTGCCTTCTTGATGGTCTTTTCTCGCTTGCTTCTTCGCCCCGCCCCCCTCTTCCCTCTCTGTTGATGCAACCCAGGCAAACACTCTACCCCTGGTCTGTGTTTCCAGCCCTTGGTGACGAAGACAGGGTCGAGGTCTGCCCAGGTTGGCCTTGAACTCAGATCCTCCTGCCTCTGAAGATCTGTTATGTGTAAATTTGGAGTTAGGAAACCCCTCCCATGGACTGGTTGTAGCGATGAAGGTGGCATCTGCCTGTTTTGGGGGGCCGGGAAGTGTGGCAACAGTTTCTCTTCCTGTTGTGATAAAATGCTCTGCCAAAAGCAGCTTAAGGGAACCAGGGTTTACTGTGGCTCACAGCTCAGACTATGACCAGTGTGGCAGGGCTGTCACAGTGGTAGGAGTGTGAAGCAGCTGGTCACGGGTACCCACAGTTGAGAATGATTGTGTGCAGGGGCTCAGTTCATGCCCTCCACTTTATATTGTCCAGAGAACATTCTTGTTCACAGATACAATGGACCACTCTTCCCACATTGATTAAAATAATCAACATAACCCTCACAGGCATGCCCCGGCGCCATCCTCGGGTGATTCTAGATTCTGCCAGGTTGATGGCTGCTAGCCTGTCCCCATTCCCTTGTGACTTTTGCACATCTATTGTGACAGGCTTAGGGCCTCTCAGATGAGGGAGAACGAAGCTGGGTCCTGAAACTTCTTTTGAGAATTTCTTTATTATGTATATAGTGTTCTGCATGCATCTCTGTGTGCACTGCAGGCCAGAAGGGGCCATCAGATCACATTATAGATGGTTGTGAGCCACCATGTGGTTGCTGGGAATTGAACTCAGGACCTCTGGAAGAGCAGCCGGTGCTCTTAACCTCTGAGCCATGTCTCCTGCAGTAAGCCCCCCTCCCCCTACTCTTTATGTTGAGTCCCAGGGCACCTTGATTAGGTCAGACCCTGCCCTCCACTTTACAAGGACTGGTCACAGCTGGGAAGTCCTGGCCCCAAGGATGTCAGGATCTGGTGGCGATGGGAGGAGAGGCCCCTGGGCTCGAGGGGTAGATGGGTGAGGGTAGAGGGCTGTTGGAGGACAGTCTGGTCTCCTGGCTGGGGTCTGGCTTTGGCTGTCAGACAGAGGGTGGGTCTTAGAGGGCTGTGTTGGCCCTGGTCAGTATGCAGCAGTAAGGGTGCTGGGCACTGAGGGACCTTCTTCCTCTGGGCAGAGAAGCGGAGCCTGCTAGTGAAGGAGCTTCAAGGTCTGTCAATGGCCCAGCGAGACCACATGATCCGGAACATGCCCTTGAGCCTGGGTGAGAAGCGCTGGCTTCGGTGAGTGCCCCATGACCTCAGCTGGCCTCCCTGAGCCAGGAGGCAGCCACATTCCTCTGTAGTCTAGGCATATATGATCTAGGCATTGTCTCTGTCCCCAGAGAGAAAAGCTGGAGTCCAAAGGGAAAGCAACAGGGCCAGAAGGGCCGAGGTGGGACCTTCTCCTGCAGCAGACTCAGATACAGCTGCATTCTGGTACGAGCCCTGAGTTGGGAGGTGTGCTGTGGGTGTGGCTGGCTGGGATGGGGGGTGCCCTGTCCCGTTGCTATCCTGTCAAGGGATTTCTAACCCAGACTGTGCATGATCTGTCCTGGTGTCCCAGCCCTTGGGACTGACCTGCAGCTGTTCCTACAGGCTCTGCACAGCCTGGGACTGGTGTTGCTTTCAGGACTGTATGCAGCCAGGCCGTGGCGCTATGCTCTGAAGCAGATTGGCGGCCAGTTTGGTTCCAGTGTCCTCTCCTACTTCCTCTTCCTCAAGACCCTGTTGGCCTTCAATGCGCTGATGTTGCTGCCTCTGCTGGCCTTCCTCGTGGGTGTGCAGGCTGCCTTCCCACCTGACCCATCCGGCCTGGTCCCTACCTTCTCTGGTCTAGAACTCCTCACAGGCAGGGTGAGGTCTTCAGCTCCTGCTATGCCCTCCTGTGCCTGTCCTGTCCAAGCTTCCCTGGTGGGCTCCTGCTTGTTTGTGGGTGTCCCTGAGGGTGGTTTCCTCTCCTTCTGGAGGCCTGAGGATAGGCTAGGGCAGCAGACCTCAACCTGTGGGGATTGCATAGCAGGTACCCTGAGTATCACATGCATTGTGATTCATAACAGAAGCAAAATTGCAGTTATGACACAGCAACAAAACAATTCTATGGCTGGGGTCACCACAGCACGAGGCACTGAATTAAAGGGTCGCAGCATCAGGGAGGTTGAGAACCGCTGGGCCGGGCAGGGGAGCATCCCTGACTCTATCTGGCCTCCTGACAGGGCTGTTTCACACACACCGTCATGTACTACGGTTACTACAGCAACACCACGCTGAGCCAGTCATGCGCCTCCCCTCGAGAAACTGGCCAGGACAGCCTGCCCTATAACATGCCGCTGGCCTACCTCTTCACGGTGGGCGCCGCCTTCTTCATTACCTGCATCACTCTGGTGTACAGGTAATGGCCCTGGTCATGTGGCCCTCACTCTGAGCCCCACACTTCCATCCACTCTCCTCTGGCTTTGTCTAGCCCCTTGTCTGCCCACCCAACCACTTCCCCAGACTACCTGTCCATGTTCCCACTGATGCACTAACTCTTCATCTTGATGGCTTTTCTCCTGCTCATATTTCATCCCTTCTCCCACTCAGACCACTCATTCATCTACACAGCCATCAGCCTGCCTGCCCATCTGTCTACCCACTCACCCATCCTCGCATTCCCCTGTTCTCGGTGGGTGCTTTCTTCTACTTGTCAGTCCATCCACCCATTGCCCACCTACCTGCCTGCTAACCCATTTACCAGTCTGTCCACATATCCATCCACCCATCCACCCATCCCACCACCCATCCACCCAACACCCACCCATCCCACCACCATCCACCCAACACCCACCCATCCCACCACCCATCCCACCCAACACCCATCCCACCCAACACCCATCCCCCAAACACCCATCTACCCAACACCCATCCACCCAACACCCATCTACCCAACACCCATCCACCCAACACCCATCTACCCAACACCCATCCACCCAACACCCATCTACCCAACACCCATCCACCCAACACCCATCTACCCAACACCCATCCACCCAACACCCATCTACCCAACACCCATCCACCCAACACCCATCTACCCAACACCCATCCACCCAACACCCATCTACCCAACACCCATCCACCCAACACCCATCTACCCAACACCCATCCACCCAACACCCATCTACCCAACACCCATCCACCCAACACCCATCCCACCACCCACCCATCCCACCCAACACCCACCCATCCCACCACCCATCCCACCCAACACCCATCCCACCCAACACCCATCCACCCACCACCCACCCATCCCCCACCCACTCACCCCTTCACCCGCCCACCTACCCACCCACCCACTCATCTGCCCGTCTACCCATCCTTCCCATTGTTCACTTCCTGCCTGTCTCTACTGCCTGCTAGCATGTCCCACTCCTTTGGGGAGAGCTACCGGGTTGGCAGCACCAAAGGCATCCATGCTCTTACGGTCTTCTGCTCCTGGGACTACAAGGTGACTCAGAAGCGGGCCTCCCGTGTCCAGCAGGACAGCATCTGTACTCAGCTGAAGGTAGGCAGCTACCTGCCCACGAATGGTCCTAGAAACCGTGTTGACACCCAGCTCCTGCAGTCCTGGCCTGGATCCTCTCAGGATGCTGTTGTGGTGTCTGCGAGCTGGCGTTGAGGTTCTGGCTGGGTGGTCTTTCCCTCACAGTGCCCAGGCAGGTCTGATGCTCCTGCACCCTTGCTTCAGTTGCGTTGCCTCTGTGGCGTTAGCCCTGAGCTCTAGGGACATGAAGGGGCTGGAGTTACAGAAACTGCTCTGGTGTGTTTAGGCTTGGGCCGGGAGGATGACCGGGTCCCTTTCTGGGGCACTTTATCCCCCTATCCTGAACCTGTAAGCTACAGCTAAGAATGGCTCCCTTTATAGTCCTTTAACCTTGAAGTAGCCAGGAGCTAAGGACTAACAGAGGAGATTGAAGCATTGAGGTCAAACCCTTAGTACAAACTTCAAGGTCCCGGGGCCTCATGGGAATTCTCTACCTTTGTGCTGTGACTCATTGGAGTTCCTACTGGGGACAGGTGTCTTCACCCCCCCCCCCCCGGGGGGGGGGCTCTGGTTGGCTAGGGGCCATTCATGCCCATAGAATGGGGTGAAGGCCACAGGCTAGGCACTTAGGATCCCTGGAGACTAGGCTGTGGCGAAGGGATGAGGAGGGGGGCTCACCGGGCATTCCCTGTGTCCCAGCAGAAGCGAGCCTGGCCTGGGGCCTCTTTAGGGAAGGGAGGGGTTTGGGCAGCCTGCCTGTGTTGTTGGGTGTGTGACTCCTTGGGATGCAGTGACAGGGACACTCCACGTACCATCTGCAGGAGCTGCTGGCTGAATGGCAACTTCGAGAGAGGCCCCAGAGCGCATGTGGGCAGCTGTGGCAGGCTGCCATGCTAGGCCTGGGATGGTTGCTGTGTCTGGGCACCACGATGGGCTGTGCAGCGGCTGTTCTTACCTTCTCAGAGGTCATGATTCAGGTAAGCCAAAGACAGGATGTCCTGGGACCGCAACCCCACAACCCCACTAGGCCCATGGTTCCCACGCTCCTCCTCGCTTCTTGTGTGGTTGGAACTGAGGCCTAGGGCTCGCTATGTGTCTTGGAGGGAGGTGCTACCTGCCACGTTGCTCCCATCTGCCAGGCCAGCTAGACCCTTCCTATAGTGCCCGCTCCCACAGCACAGCCGAAGTGAACATGTCCCCATGCATGGTGTGCCTTTTCTGACTGAACCCTCTCACTGTCGTCATAGAGACCGGATGCTGATGGCCAGGGGGTAGAGCTGCTGGCCCTACCCTTGGTGGTCAGTGTCCTTAATCTGGGTGCCTCCTACCTGTTCCGTGGTCTGGCCACTCTGGAGAGGCATGACTCCCCCGTGTTGGAAGTATACATGGCCATCTGTAGGTGTGTGGCTGCGGGTGTGGGCTGCTGGGAAGGGCTCTTGGAGTGTCTGTTGTCCGGCATTCCCCTCAGCCTTCACAACCTCTGCCTGCACAGGAGTCTCATCCTGAAGATGGCTGTCCTGGGTGTGCTTTGTTATCACTGGCTGGGCCGCAGGGTGGCCAAGCTGCAGGCCCCGTGCTGGGAGGACTTTGTGGGCCAGGAACTGTACCGCTTTCTGGTTGTGGATTTCATCTTCACGCTCTTGGATTCCCTTTTTGGGGAGCTGGTATGGAGGTGAGGAGGCTCCGCCTGGCCCTCCCACCCTGCCCTCTGGGCTCCTGGTACCCACCTCAGTCAGGGACAGGTGGGGCACAGCTGATGTGTGCTAGGCTGCCCCTGCCTCCCCATGAGAGGTCCCTACACTGAGGAGGATGGTGGGCGGTAGGATGACAGGTAGTTTCCGATTGCAAAGGAAAAAGGTTTCAGTATTGCTCAGACAGGAAGAGAGGGAGGGATACCTTTAAAACGTTGTGGAGGGCTGTGGGGTGTAGAGCTTTGAGTGCTTGAGTCCTTTTGTGCTTTCCTTTGAGAATACGTGGTTTTATTGAGAGCTGAAAAGCAAGATATCCTTTCCACACTTTCCTTACACACTATTTATTGTGTGTCCTTTTGTGCACGCGTGTGTACGCGTGTGTGCTGGGGAATGTGGAGGTCAGTTCTCTCCTAACCATGGTGGTCTTGGGAATTGAACTCTGCCATTAGGTTTGGCAGTAAGCATGTTTCCGGGCTGAGCCATTTTAAGCCCCACCCCCCCCACACTTTCTTTTTCATTAGAGGTAAATCTTGATGAGTTGCCTAGGTAGGCCTTGAACTTTAATCCTCTTACTTAACCCTTCTCAAAACAGCTGAGTTCACAGACCTGTGCCACCCAACCCAAATGTCCTTGTTTGGTTTTGGTTTTAAGATAAGGTCTCTGTAGTCCCAGCTGGCCTGGAGCCCCCTACACAGACCAGGCTGGCCTCGAACTCAAAAATCCACCTGTCTCTGCCTCCCAAGTGCTGAGACTGGAGGTGTGGTTTCCTGACACACGGTCTCACTGTGTAGCACAGGCTGCCTTGGCCTCTTGACTTCTGGGAAAAATAGGGATTTATTATTTTTGTCTTTTCTAAGACAGAGCCCTGACTGGCCTTACGCTCCTAATCCTCCTGTCTCAGCCTCCCGAGTACTGGGATCTCACACATGTACCTTGCCCACTCCAGTTTGTTTGTTTTGTATGAGCACCCTCAACACACAGCATTATGTTGAGATTGGTGTCTCGGCTCAGAATTGCTTCTGTGGTGACAGCCCCTAGGCCCAGATGACCACTGTCTCTCCTGACATTTGCTGGGTGCTGGCTTGCACTGGTGCAGGTGGTCCCTGCCTGGTGCCCTGGGGATGAGCGTCTCCCCTGCCCGTCTCTCAGGGGCTCCTCTGTCCAGGCTCATCTCTGAGAAGAAGCTGAAGAGGCAGAAGCCTGAGTTTGACATTGCTCGGAATGTTCTGGACCTGATTTATGGGCAGACTCTGACTTGGTGAGGGTCTCTCACCTGCCTCCCGCTGGCTGTCAGCCACTGCCTTCCTTCCCTGGGCCACAGCAGCGGTCTTTTGGTTCTGGGTGGGCAGAGGTCCTGGGTGGGTGACTCTCTGGGCTTAGCAGCCCTGTCTGCCTTGGTCCCCAGGCTGGGTGTCCTGTTCTCACCGCTCCTGCCTGCTGTGCAAATGCTCAGGCTGCTGCTCCTGTTCTATGTCAAGAAGGTGAGCTGGGAGCGGTGGTGGGCACTTTTAATCCCAGCAGTCGGGAGGCAGAGGCAGACAGTGTCTGAGTTCAAGGCCAGTCTGGTCTACAGAGTGAGTTCCAGGACAGCCAGGGCTACACAGAGAAACCCTGTCACAAAAAGAAAGAAAGAAAGAAGAGGGTCACTTGGCAGCCGAGTATGAACAGCACTGGGCTCCCCAGTCTCTTGGGAGTGACTCTGGGTCCCTCTCCTCACTTGGTGTGCTCAGGGGCTGACAGCCAGCACCTTGGTCTCCACTGGTTCTGGGCCCCCTTCTGGTCCTCCACACTGGGGTGGTACTCACCAGACTGATACAGGTGGGCAGTGTAGACCCAGAGCACCGTCTCTGCCTGGGCTCAACCTTGCCCACCTGTCCCTTGCTCCCCCTTTGTACTGGGTTTATTCCGGCTCCTTTGGAGGGTGGGCAGTCAGTCCATTGTGATAGGAAAGGCAGTAGGTCACATGACTTCCTCAGTCAGGGAGCAAAGGTGAAGACTGGGACCCCAGCTAGTGGGATGGCACCGCCAGCATTCAGGGTGGGTTTAGGAATGCTCACGGGGTGCCCAGAGGCTTGTCTACTAGGTGGTTCTAGATCCAGTCAGGCTTAGTGGATGACGGTGGGGGAGTTTGGGGGCAGGGCGTGGTGGTCTTGGACAAAACATAGCCTTTGTCCCCAGGCAAGCCTGATGGCCAACTGCCAGGCTCCTCGCCGCCCCTGGCTGGCGTCACACATGAGCACCGTCTTCCTCACGCTGCTCTGCTTCCCGTCATTCCTGGGCGCCGCTGTTTTCCTCTGCTATGCTGTCTGGCAGTGAGTGGGGGACTGGTTCTTTGGCTTTGGGGTGACACAGGTCATGCCTTGTCCTTGCTGATTGTGGACTGTTGCCTCAGGGTTTCTTGCCCCCGTCTTCTCCAGGGTGAAACCCTCAAGCACTTGTGGCCCCTTCAGGACTCTGAACACCATGTACGAGGCAGGCACCGTCTGGGTGCATCGTCTGGAGCGTGCCGGCTCTGGGGCCTCCTGGCTGCCCTGGCTGCACCACTTCCTGGTGGAGAACACCTTCTTCCTTTTCCTGGTGTCAGCCTTGCTGCTGTGAGTTCTACAGGTGTGGGTGGCAGTGAGGCTGGCCTGAGGTAGTGCCCTGTGCTGTTCTGGCCCTGCCATCGGCCTTCAGCCTGAGCCCCCATTTCCTCAGGGCCGTCATCTACCTCAACATCCAGGTGGTGAAAGCGCAGCGAAAGGTCATCTGTCTGCTCAAGGAACAGATCCGGAATGTGAGAGCCACGCGTCTGCGCCCCTAGCTTGTGGGGTTCCCCTTGGCACACTTGTTGGTTCTGTTGCTTTTGGAGATAGGGTTTCACTCTGGAGCCCACGTTGTCCTGTGTCCTGAGGATAACCTCGGCTTTCTGATCCATGTCTTGTTCATGTGGTACTGGGTATTGCACCCAGGGCCTTCTGTATGCTAGGCAAGCCCTTTACCAACTGAACTATATTTCCAATCTTTTGTTTTGAGACAGGGTCTCTGTGTAGCCCTGACTGTCCTGAAACTCACAGAGATCCACCTGCCTCTGCCTCCTGAGTGCTGAGATTAAAGGCGGGGCCCCCCCCCCTTTTTTTTTTTTTTTTTTTTTATGATTGTGTGTGGAGTTGGCTCTCCCACTTCTTTGTGGGTTTGGGGAGCTTTTCTGCAGATCATTTTCGGAGCCTTGGTTTGTTTTTGAGATAGGGAACTGGGATTAGTGTGAGCCACTTCCATGTGCCTGGGGCTAAGCAGAGAGCACAGGCATGAAGTGGTCGGGATGGAGTGGGCAGGCAGCCTGCTGTCTGGTTTGGGTTTGGGAAACAAGGGGCTCACACGAACTGTCGGGACGTAGGTATCTCTGGGGCCCAATGTATGCACATGGGCCGTCAGAAGGGATCAGGACTCAAAACACTTAAGGAGACTGTGAGCCAGGCGTGGTGCACACCTGGGATTGCAGCAACTGAGGTCTGGTTCAAGGCCATTTCCAGTTGCATCAGTTTGAGACCCTTTCTCACAGAAGAAGGGAAGAGGGGCAGGCGGGGCAGGGGCAATTTGAGACTGCATCATAGACTTTCCCAGTGACACTTTCCATCTTTACCTCATTACTAGGCTGAGACACAAATATGCTTGCTTCTTTCTTTCTCTTCCACTTTTCTGATTTTTGAGACATAGTCTTACTAAAAGCCCTGCGTAGCCTAGATTTTGCTACAGAGACCAGTCTGCCCTCATGGAGATCCGCCTGCCCTGCCTCCTGCCCTGAGACCTGAGGTGTGGGCCTCTTAACCCTGTGTCTTGTGATGCTGAACTCAGAAGTCTAGACAAGGCCAACTCTGGGCCTGAGAGATGGACGACTTCTCACATTTGTGCCCTGATCTTTCCAGGAGGGCGAGGACAAGGTCTTCCTCATCAACAAGCTTCACTCTGTTTACGAGGCGGGGGAGCGGAGGCGCAGGTGAGGAGGCTGGTGTGTGGGGGGCAGTGTAAAGTGGCACTCCCCTGTTGCAGTGGTGCTTCCTTGATGAGGCACTGTTGGGTTCTGGGAGTCAGCTCCTGGCTTGCCTCCCCTCTACCTCCAGTGCTCTGCTACTTCAGTTAAAGCTGGGACGGGGCTGCTGTGTATTCAGGACACCCACGGGGATATGCAGAGCTACGTTCAGCCATCACTGAGGTGTTATGGGTGGTGTTTTGCTTGCATGTATGTACGTCTGTGCACACGTGTCTGGAGGTCAGAGGGCATCAGATCCCCTGGAGCTGGAGTTAAACTACCATGTGGGTGCTGGGAATTGAACCTGGGTCCTCTGGAAGTGCAACAAGTACTTTTAAACACAGCCTTGGTTGTCTTGGAACTTGCTCCAACTGTCTGTCTGCCTCACTGGTGCTGGGATTAAAGGCATGTGCCACCACAGCCAACATTCCACAGACCAGTTTTATAGTGACCTTGACAACAGAATTTCTCCCAGCTGAGTGGTGCATGCCCACACGGAGGTCCACCCATCCCCAGCAGTCTGAGGCTTGTTCCCCCAGGCCATGTCTGTAGGTTCTCAGCTGCAGCCATCAGGGCTCCTTCTCTGCAGATCAGGGAGGCATCTCACAACATCCACCACTCATCATGGCCTTCAGGCTGTCTTGTAGGGGAACCCAAGGTCAGAGACACACAGCCTGCCTCTGTGCCTTGTAGACACTGCAGTTTCCCTTAGTAGTGGGGCCTTGGCTCCATGTGGTCCTCGTGGCTGGTGTACCTGGTGTACGTGCTGTGTTCCTTGAGTCCCTGTAATTGATGACAGGCCTTTACTGAGGGGACTGTTACTTCGAGCCATTCCACACAAGGCTGCCGATACTCCAAAGTTTTGGATCACAAAAGTGGCCAGTTCACGTGGCCCAGCAATCATTCCTGGAATGTATCCCCTGGTGGTTCTTTGTACGGCTCTGCCAGCCTGGCCTTTGCTGCTATAGAGCCTTCAGCCTCGGAGGCCTGACATGTGTCACTAGGAACACAAGAGCATCCACTGAGCTGGAGGGGCTTTCACGTTGGTTGGGTTACCCTGACGCTCCTTACTGGCAGGCCTGGCAGAACCCAGGAGGAACCTTGTAACCCCAGTCACCATGACCCTGCACGCAGAGACCTGGACCTGAGGTCCCCACAGGACACAGCCGTAGAGTGACTTTCCACAAGCTCCCCGAGGTGATGATGGGGCAAGGATGTGGTGGTTCTCCAAGGGACCCTGTTCTACCTGGGACTCCCTTCCCCTGGGTTTTTAATTTTCTTTTTTTTCCTTTTTAAAGACAGGATCTATTTACACAGCCTTGGCTGGCCTTGGGTTCAGAGATCTTCCTGCCAAGTACTGGGATCAAAGGCACGTGCCACCAGGCCCGACCTTCCCTTTCCCCAACTTTTTTTAATTCTGATTAAATGGGTTTTGCAACATGGGTTTGTGTTTTGGAATGAGCTTGCAACTGTTCCTGCCAGGTGCTTGGGGCCCACTAGGCCTTCCACGGAACCCTCAGGGCCAAGGGCCTGGCTGTGCCCAGGGTGAGAAACCAATCAGTGGTGATGTTGTGTGGGCAAAAGGAGGGCAGATTTAGGGAAGGACTCCTAAAGGATGACTTGATGCTTTGGGTGAGAGGCCCCTTAGTAGAGGGCCCCACAGCACCCAGTCTACGGTGGGTGGTGTGCGGTGAGACACCCTGGGTAGGCTGAGCTATAGGAGCCTGTAGATCTCTCCTGGGACTGAGCAGCCACAGCACCCCACCTCACTAGTTGTAGTTTTCGGGGAGTCACCTTGGGTCGGGACATGCCAGCAGTGCTGGGCACCAGTCATTCCCCAGCTGATCCAGTGCCACACCTAAGACCAGCCCCATGGAAAGCTTCTGTGACACTAAAACGAGTATCTCAGCAGAATTTCTAAGCTGTCACGGTTGATCTGGGCGGGATGGTGATGCTCTGTGTCTCCAGTCCCTGTGGGCACTCCACATATCCTAACCAACCTGGGCTCTGTACTAAATGAAGATGTCAGAGGGATGACTTTGATTGTCATCAGTTCTGTCTCACACACCACTGAGAAGGGGAAAGAACATGCCCAGGGTGTTTCACAGAATCACCAGCAACTGTCTTCTGTCAGCCCAGATCCAGGTGTGGAGTGGATACAGACTCTGCCTTGAGGGGCAGAGGCAGTCAGCACCCCAGCTGCCCATGCCTTTGGTCTCTCCTACCTCCATTCCTCACCTCGGGACCTGGGAGTGCTAAGCACTGTAACTAGCCATCAGGGGCTCTACTACAAAGTCACCCTCATTGCTGTACTGCAGCCATGGAAAGGGAGGGAGGATGAGTTAGCTGTAACTGGCAAATGAAATCAACTCGACTTGCAAACTACAAACTTGTGTTGAGATGGTAGCGCTGCACCTGGGAACCTGGGAACAGAACTCTGGTGTGTGTGTGTGTGTGTGTGTGTGTGTGTGTGTGTGTGCGTGCGTGCGTGCGTGCGTGCGTGCGCGTGTGTGCGCGTGCGTGCGTGCGTGCGTGCCTCATGTCATCCATGCTGGCCAAGGATGACCTTGAAATCCTGACCTGCTGGTCCAGTGCCACACCTGCAGCTCCCTAATGTTGGCATTGCAGGCTGTCGCCACTGCTTCTTGACCTTGGCTACATGGGGGTGGGGGTGGGGGTGAGCACATGGGTTCTGAAACCACCTGTATCTCTGCTGCCCCAGAGATCCTTATAAGGAGTACCCTGGCCAGGCACTATGATTTTAAGTTTCTGGGAGATTCTAAGAGGCCAAGGTAGGGAACTGCTCTGGGTGCCATCTGGGGTCATCTGTCACCTAAGCTGAAGGCTACTCACAAGTGTGGGGTTGAGCAAGCTTGTGAGGATGCCTTTATCTGTAGTGACTCCGGGAAGCATCGGCTCATCCTGGCCTTCTAGGTCTTTGCTAGTACTGTGGCTGCAAAGAAGCTTCCGGGGGTATCCCTTGCCGCCATTGTTTGTCTGGTTCACTCAGCCTAGGCCAGTCCACAGTAGCTCCCACCATGTCTTGTGCCTCAGCCGGGCTTGCCTACCTCTGCAGGCTGGAATTCTCCTCTGTCCATCCCACCACCTTGGCTGGGCATCCTGCCTTCTGCCTCCACTGCTGTGCCACAGTCTTGTCCAAACAGTGTGGTGATAGGGTAGCTCCGGATCACAGACCCCAGGCCTACTTCAGTCCAGTCCAGTCCCATGAGGCCTTTTCTGCTGGTCCTCAGTGTCAAAATCCAACCCATCCTGGACGTCCAGGGAGGGTGCCACCTCCACAAAACCTACTGTTCCCTGGATGTTCTGAAGGCTTCTTTACCCATCGGACGGAGACAGCAGCTCCTAGGTTAGCCCCGGTCTGCTCTTCTGCTGAAGCTCTGACCCGCAGAGCTGGAGGTTGCTGGGAGGCCAAGGGCAGCTTGACATCCTGAGTCTCCGTCCTCTGGTCTCTGGGTTCCCTGAGGTCAGGGCCCCTTTGGCGATAAGCTCAGCAGAGCTGGCAGCTGTCTCCTTTTCTGTGAGTGAGGCCCCTGTGGGAGGCCAGAGCTCATCCTCATGAGGCACACGGTGGGTCAGCACTGGAGGGTGAGCTGACCTAGTGCCACCCTTGAGCCTGCCGACACCGCTGCCATGTCAAGCATGTTAGCCAATACCATTTTAGGGGCAGAGATCAACAAAACACTTAGGAAGCACATGAGTTGGGGTTCTTGCTGCGTTGCCAGGTATGGTCTTGAGCCTTGGACTCAGGCGGTGCTACTCAAGCCTCCCGAGTGCTGGGACTACAGGCGCACACTACTGTGCTTTTCTCCAGATAGCTCTGCGGGTGGAACCTTGTGCCTGCACACAAAGGCCCTACTACCGAGCTACATCCCTGCCTCTAGTTTCTCTCTTAATGCCTGCACCAGGCATGCGCCAATGAGTATGGGGCAGCGGTGCCTGAGAGAACCTGCAGCCCCTGGCTCCACCCACTTCTGGTCTGGGCAACACTGGTCTTCAGATGCATCCAGTTCAAGCCAGGAGGACTTGGAAGCTGTTAGGCCTCCCAGTGGCTACTGACAGGATCCAAATAGTCTCAGCAAAACCAAATAGCAAGGCTACAATTTTAAGTGCAACAGCCATGACTGTTAGTTTAGCCAGGAACCAATGCAAACTCAGCAGACACAGTAGGCTGTCCCCACAAGTGGAAAAGGAAGTCCCTGCCTCTTACAGATGACAGAACCAGCAATAGTGAACAGCCAAGAAAAACCGCAGTTTATTAAGACTCAACAAAGCGCTGTATTTTTGAAAGCAACCTCCGGTGTGTGTCCAACCACCACATCCCATGAGGAGGAGGGGCATTAAGCGCCACAAACTCTTTTCTTTTAATCTTAGAGTCAGAGACATTTTAAATTTAAAAGGTTAAAAAAAAAAAAAAGGAGAAAGGGAGGGACCCACAAAAACTGCAAACATCCTTTACTTCCATCCCCAGTTTTAAAACATTAGGAGTTTTTCTACAACTCAGTGCTAAATGCCAGCATGGCAAGCTGTACGTCTGGGAGCACACGCACGCACGCACGCACACGCACGTACATATTTGATATACATACTTGGGTATACATACATCAAATACCCAGGACGCAGGTAATGACGATGAGCGCAGCCACTCTGAGGAGGGCCGTTCCGTGGAGACGTGATGAGCCCAGTTGTGCATAGTTCACGGTCCTCTGGAAAACCAGCGTTTCTCTGTGGTCCTGCGGGACTTGCTTTCTTCCTTGTCTTGATAAAACCATTAAAAAGCTAATTAAAAAATGTAATGCACAAGTTTCCTGACCACATAGGCAGGGAGTACAATGTTCATATATTTTTTTAAAACATACTTGAGGGTGTGTTATTTCATTGTCTTTCTTCCTTGCAAAACAATCAAAACATTGATCATCTTTAAAACATAAAGCAATTTTTAATATATAAAGCACTCTTCAAACATCTATTTCTTTTGAGTCCATTATTTGGTAAATATGTAACTGCTACACATTAGAGATTAGGTATTTTTCTTCTTTGTGTGTGTGTGTGTTTTTTTTTTTTCTTTTCTTCTTTTTCTTTTTTTTTTTCTTTTTCTTTTCTTTTTTTAAATAACATCTTCAGTGCTAGGAGTTGGGTTTAAAAATACATGAAATGGTGTGGAGCTGCCCCCGGGAGCCCTGGCTTTCCTGAGAGCTGGCCGGTGTGTGCAAGACAGAGACCACACTGCCTCATCACCTTGAGGAAGGGTGAAGACAACCGACAGAGTCCATGATGGCTGCAGGGGAACAGCACGTCCCAGCACGCCCCATCCCAGAGCTCTGAAGTAACACATCTGCATTCTGAAAATAGGTTTCTGTTTGTTTGCTTGTTTTTGTTTTTTTTACGATGGAAGTCTTTTTTTTTTATTCCTTTTAAATTTTTAAAATTTTTTTAAAATTTTTATTTTAAAGTCTGAAGGAGAGAAAAGGTCTGTAAACAGGTGGGAGCCCAAACCACAGCTCCTCCAAAAGCAGTCACAACCCATGTCCAAGTGCTTGTTCCCGCTCCTTGCGGGACACCCATTCTCTACAAGTATCTATGGCCACAGTTCAACAACAGTTTTGTTTTCTCTTTAACTTTATATTCCAGATGGGAAATGGTGCAATACTCTGGTAATAATCTTCTTGCATTAGTCCACAATGAAAAGCTGCTAAAGGTAGATAGACATATTATTTCTCCAGAGATATACACTGTAACTTTAAATGCAATAAGAGTCCTTGAGTAAACATTTACACATGAATTGTCACCAGCCCTGTCCCATGAACTCTCTTTACTGTTTCGGATTAGCTGAAGGGAGGAGGGCAGAGACACCTCAGTGCAAAGTTAGAAGTGAACAACAATGAGAACGTTTGACCAATTCGCCAAAAAAAAAAAAAAAAAAAAAAAAAAAAAAAAAAAAAAATCCTGAAAAAAAGGGAAACCCCCAATTCAAAACCCCCACCCAACCCACTGAATAAAAGGGAAACCCACAGTTAAATCCCGCACACACACTCAAACACGCGCACAGTTAGCACTAATCGTGCACGAGCGCACGTGCACACACACTGCTCCACAAGCACACGCACACACGCACATGTAGGCTATGAACGTAGACATTTCCTAGAGCCTGTTTCTGTGCACAGATGTCAACGTGGAAGTGTTCACATTTCAGTATTGGCCTGCTGGGTTCAAGTATTTGCATGTTTGATATGTCTTTTTTTTTTAACTTTTAAAAAATAATTTTTTGGGATAAAAAAAATGACATGACAAAGTAATGAAACAAGGTAATGTGCATAGGCGGATCCAGGAGGGGCGGAGCAGTGGCCACGCCTCACCTGCGCCCCCCCCCGCCCCGCCCACCGCCTCTGGTAATGTGCATAATCGTCACAGGCTCACTTTAAATAGGCTTCAAGTCTCCCCCCCACCCCACCATAAAATAACCCTTTCCAGCCCACAGTCTGAAAAGTGCCCTTCATGATAAACTATTCTAAGCAGCTTTTATACTTAAAACTCAAAATGACACCACACCGTACAAACATAAGACGACATAAAATAAAAAGCTATGAGGAACATCCTGGCGTTAGCACGTGACACTGACCAAACGCAGCCCGCACTGTCTTCAACAGTTCACAAGGGCTGAGGCCAAGGGTCATCTTCAGAACTGGACAGAGGTACTCCAAGGGGCAGCCTGTCCATCCGAGGGGGCCTCAGAGTCGGGCCTGGCATGCTCAGCTCTCTCCACCCCAATGACGGTGACCCCTACATGGACTCGCCACTGAGCAGGTCCCCAGGCAGCAGAGTGTTGAGAGGTGTGGGGCTGCCAATCACCCTGGCATCATCAGCACTGGGCGGGCCCCACAGACTGCTGGAGTACTGGGGCACCCCACCCCACAGCAGCTCACTGCTGCCTTTGCCACTCAGACACGGGGTGCTCCAGTGGGCAGTGTCGCTGCGCACCAGGCCATGGGTGCTGCCCGAGGAGCCCAGCCTGGGCTGGCTGCCCCCACTGCTGGGTTGCCAGCTGGAGGTGGGTGGCAAGGCTTGGCCTTGGGCCAGGAACCGATTCACTTCTTCTTCACCAGCGAACTCAGCCAAGATGGTGGTGTTCCCCAGTACACACCTAGAAGGCAAGAAAAAGGCTAAGTGTGCCACCCCAAGTCCTGAGTGTGTGCTACCAGGAAAGACAGACAAAAGGATTGCCATGGCACAGGCTATCATGACCTAGCCTCTTGGCTGTGTTGTCACTGTTAATTCCTGGCAGCCAGCCACAGAGGATTTGTGTGTGGAGTACAAGTTTACATGCGCTGTACAACGGGGGCTAGCTGGCATCAGTGGTGACATCCCAGAGCAGGTCTTTCTGTATTCTGCATGGAAAGCACCCTCAAGTGGGCAGTGGGCTGCTGTGAGCAACCCTGGAGCCTGGGTGGCTAGAGGCTCCCTTTAGACTCTTCCTAGGGGACAGACACACAGATACAAACAGTGACTAGGAGAAGACACAGGCCGAGGATGCTGTCTATAAGGCTGCAGGAGGGGGGAAGTCTGTCCATACTCTGACGTTGGCTAGGAAAGGACACAGATCTGATTGGGGTGCCTGTGCTGCTGCAGGATGGGGGCAGTGCCACAACACTCATTCACTCCACCTAACAGAACTGGGCACTTGGGGCTACGTGGCAGTATGAAGGGGCTGAGGAAAAACATACATGTGCAGAGACTTCTGGGCCTTGGCGGCTTCTTCCTTGGAGCTGTAACGGACCACAGCATTGCCTTGGGTCAGATTCAGGTGGAATGTGATGAGAGGCCCATGCTGCAAACACAGCGTCCGCAGTGTAGAACCGTCAATCTGAGGAGGAAGCAAAGGGCACACCATGCTTTCCTCCGAGCTCTTGCTGTGCTCTGCAGCAGCAGTATGAAAGCTGGGTGTACTGCAGACTACAGCACATCCTCCTATGTCTGAGGTGGGTGAATTCCCTTGAACAGGTTCTCTTTATAAAATTATGTTTTCAGCTGCTGAAGGGCAACTAAGCCACCAGGAACATGGCTGAGAGAAGCACCTGGCTGTTTGCCCACACTGACCTGTCATTCACACTTGCCTCTGCCTCTAGGCCCTGAAGGAAGATGCCTGACACAGACAGTTACCTGCTCCAGGGGCAAAGCAGGTACCTTCTTGGCTATAAGTAGCTACCCATGGGTGTGACCTGGCAGCAGCTGTACCTGGGGTGTGAGGTTGCGCAGAACGAGCCAGCTGCTTGTTCTTCCTGAGGCGTCAGTGCTCCAAGCAGAACCTGGAGAACAAGTGCATGGGACAAGAACTCAACCCACAGGCCATGTTGTCTAGTCTGACCTAAAATATACATCAAGCTCTAGTCGTAGACCTCCTGGAAGCCACGGTACCGATTCCATCTATGGCCCATGACAACCCTGACTTCTTCAATGTGCTTGCCAGCTCAGGAGGCCTGTCCTTTTCTGCCTGTGCCTGTCGTAGGGGGCAGGTTTGATGGGATACCTTAGAAGCACCCGCAAAGTTCTATTCTCTACCTTGTTCTGTCCCCCATCCCCAGACAACACACTCAAGTTCTTCTTGTTAAAGGAATGACGTGAACACAGCAGAGCACCACTGCTGCTACTAAGGCTGGACACAGCCCTCGGTACTGGTGCTGACTGAAGCCTGAGTCACTTCTCTTCTCTGCTGCCAAGGGAGGGAGCCCAGAGGACAGCTATACGACACTTCTGAGGTACCTTAGTTTTTGGTATGGAAAGCCCTTATGTTTCCATGGAACCTTGTGGAAAAATTAAGACCCCTGTGCTGGGGCTGAAGCGATGGCTCAGCGGTTGGTTAACAGCACCGTTTTTTGGTTTTTTTCTTGTTTTTTTTTCCCCAGAGGACCCAGGTTCAATTCCAAGCATCCACATGGCAGCTCACAACTATCTATAACTCCAGTTCCAGGGAATCTATCACCTTCACACCAATGCACATAAAATAAAGCTTAAAAAAAAAAAAAGCCAATAAAGGCATTAAAAAAAAAAAAAACACAACCAAAAACAAAAAAACAAAAGACTCCTGTGCTGGCTGAGGTGTGTAGGAAGCCTAGAATGGCTGAATGGTCGGTCTCTTGAGGATACAGTCCATGGATCCACTCCAGGCTCAGGTCTGCTAAGAGGCATGGGATAAAACAGGCACACAGGAGGGGGCGGTGCTTACCCGAGGAGTAGGAGCTGGTCCAGCCTAGGGGACTGGTGCCCCAGGTGGAGGAAGGCTTGGGATTGGCTAAGCCTGGGGGTGGCCTGGTAGGTGCAGTAGTGTTTCTGGGTACCTTCCACAATTCATGAGACAGAGAGGCTTGTGTGTGAGAGGCTGGACCCGAGGACCATGTTGACTTAATGTCTGACAGTTTACCTAGGAGAGAACGGACACAGCACGTGCATTACGCCCGCCCCGAGAAGCAACCACAGCTCAGGGAGCTGGCAGAGCCCTGACACCGCAGATGGGAGAGACCAGCAGTGAGGAAACACCATGGTGTGCTTCGCCTCATGCCTCCCCGTCTCAGGTGGCCCAAGCTGGCCCCCAACTCCTAGCTTCAGATGGCCTTCCTACCTCAGCCTGCTGGGCTGATGGGGCCAGTGACTGCTTTCCAGCATGGGGCTAGAGCAAAAGAAAATCCAAGCTGGGCGTTAGTGGTGCACACCTTTAATCCCAGCACTCGGGAGGCAGAGGCAGGCGGATCTCTGTGAGTTTGAGACCAGCATGGTCTACAAGAGCTAGTTCCAGGACAGGCACCAAAGCCCCAGAAAAACCCTGTCTTTAAAAACCAAAAAAAAAAAAAAAAAAAAAAAAAATCCAACAACACTCCAGGGCTAGTTGGCTATCTCTTTCGTGCTGGGACTGGATTCTGTTTTTTTGTTTTGTTTTTTGCCTTGGTAGTTGATCCCTTTTCCAGGCTTGGACTCCTCTCTCCCACCTCTGTCAGGCTTGTCTGGAACTGGGGCATGGCAGCGTGCACATCTCTCTAGCACCACCCCCTCCTTTGCCACACCTTGGGCAGAGCTGGCCCCTCTCCAGCACCGAGACCAGCAGAACCTCTGCTGTGTTTCCCCACTCTGGACACACAGGCTCACCACTCTGTGCAGCCACCCTTAGGGGGAACAAGGACAGATGGATGGGTGGCTCTACTACTTCTGCTTGACTCTTACTCTGCCACCTCCTGCAGGGATGCCTGCAACCTGAAAGCACGAGCTGTCTTAGCTCCTGGGCAGCTGGAGTGCCTACAGGCTTCCTTTCTCAGCTGACTGTGTTAAAGAGCCAGAGGCACACACACCCCTAACAGGAGAGGCTGGAAGTAGTGACCTAATTGAGTACTTGGGGACTGATGAGGGCCTGATGAGCGACAGGCTACTCTGGACATCCTATGCTCATGCTTTGCAGCTCTACAGTATGGCCTGGTACTGTGCTGCTCCCTGGTATCTGAAAGAGGCTGTGCCAAAAATCAGCATCACTAATGGGGCAGGAAAACAGATGGAAGCTGTGTGGTGATATCTTGTTTATACTCTAACAAACAAAGCTTGCCTGAAGATCAGAGGGTGGAGTTAGCCAGCCACTAGTTAACCATAAAGGTCTGGAGGTCTCTACAGACACACAGGAAGTGATATGGCTGGGCAGAGAGAGGAATATATGGTGGGAAGAGACAGGAGCGCATTACATTCAGTCTGAGGATTCGTAGGGACAGGGTCACCCTTTTGTTTCTCCTATGGCTGGCTCCTTTACTTCTCTGCATTTCAGCATTTCCCCTGATACCTGACTCCAGGTTTTTATTTTTAAGACCTATTAGAACTCGTGCTACAGCTGGGCAGTGGTGGTATACACCTTTAAGCCCCAGAACTCATGAGGCAGAGGCAGGCAGATCTTCTGTGAGTTCAAGGCCAACTGGTCTACAGGGTGAGTTTCTGGACAGCCAGGACTGTTATACAGAGAAACCCTATCTTGAAACAACCCCACTCTGAAAAAAGAGACAACAAAAAATAAAAACCCTTGTCTTGAAAGGCTGATGGCTGAAGCTGTGACTGACTGCCAAACAAAGTAAAAAATGATGCAGATGACTTGCTGGTTGAAGATTCATCTGCAGAGTGTTTTTTGTGAGTTTCAAGTTGGGTTTTGCGCTTGAGATTAGGGACAGTCTGCAAACTTCCAAAATCTAAAGCATCTCTGGTCCTGAGCACACGCTAACAGATACTTTAGCTGTGTTAGTCCACTCAGCACAAACACACCTCAAGTCAGTCTTCTCACAGGCTTTGCCGGGCATCCTCCGATGCCACAGAGGTCAGGTGAGCAGAACAGGTGCCCACCAACTATGTCTGATGCTGTTACCTGCCTCACAGTCCCGCCCACAGGAGGCAGGGGTGATGGCCCTCCTCACCTCCACTCTTGAGGAGGTAGCGGTTGACGTCCTGGATGGTGGTATTGATGGTAGGTCCAGTAGGGACACTGCCAGGAGTGACATCAGGGTCATTCTCGGGATCGATATTCTGAAGTCCTTTCCATGGAACTCCAGGGTGGAATTCTGTTCATGGAAAGCAAAACAAGGCTGCATACTAGAGCACCTTCATGTTGCATCAAGACATGTTAAAATCAATTTTTCATATTTTTAAAACTCTGATAGTTAGGCTCAGAGGCACTCCTTGAGTAATCAACTCTGGCCAGTTGATTACATCAGTCATTCTTTTGGAACAAACTTTCAGGTGTGAATGCTTTTACCAGGTAGAAGCTGGTGTCCCGTGTCCCCCCCCCCCCCCCCCCCCCCCCGGGCCTACTCCTACCTTGACCTGGGAAGCCACAGAACAATGATTGACCCCAGCACAGTCCATGAAGGCCAGCAAGTCCAAAGCAAAGGACTTGATGACTGCAGGACCCACAGTGCAGATCCAGGCTCCCTCAGCTCTAACTGCTGCTCCAGGCTGAGGGCACATTTGCCTTTACTGTGGCCCACGAAGTGTCAGATAATCTTACCTGGGGGCCAGCTGATGCTGGAGCCGTTTGAGATCTTATCGCTGTCAGATTTGGCACGAGACCAGCTATGGGGAACAGCTACGGGAGGACTGGCTGGTGACTCACTGTTCTGGATTAGATCGTACCGGCCATAGGAGTCATCAATGGAGGACTTACCTGGAGGCCCGATGCTTAGACCTCCAGGGATAGCACCTATGAAACAGGAAACCAGGAACTGAGTGAACAGTCTGCCACAGGCACCCGGGATACACTGCAGCCTTCCCTTCCAGGTCCAGGATCCCACTCACCGCTTGCAGTTACATGCACTGTTGGCCTTAGGCTGCCCAGGGTTCTCTAAGAACTGTCAGCCAAGGATGGTCTTCACACGACTAAAACAGGTATAAAACCCAGTACATTGAGGATGCTGGGTCAAGCTTCTGCCCCTGAGAGACACTGACTAGTTGCCCCTGAGAGACACTGACTAGTATTATCAACCACACACCATTACTGTTGTTTTGTTGTTACTATTATTTGGTTCCTTGAGACAGGGTTTCTCTGTGTAAGTCCTGGCTGTCCTGGAACTCACTCTGTGCACCAGGCTGTCCTGGAACTCACTGAGATCTACCTGCCTCTGCCTCCTGAGTGCTGAGATTAAAGGCGTGTGCACCACTGCACAGCTGTTGTTATTATCATCATTATTATACTTTACAGTGTGGGGGATCTAATTCAAGGCTTCATACATGCTAGGTACGTATTCTACCGTTGAACTGTGGGTTTTTTGTTTTGTTTTTTTGGTTTTTTTTGAGATGGAATCATATAGTCTGGATTGGCCCTGAACTTCCTCTGTAGTCAAGAATGATGACGCTAAACCAATCTTCCTGCCTCCAGCTCCCCAGAAGTTGGGATTATAGTGTGTGCTACTATAAACTAACTTGTCTTATGCACCCCAACGCTGGCCTTGAACTTGCTGTGTATCCTCATGTCCTTGTTTCTACCTCTCTAGTGCTAACATTATAGGCATAAACCACCAAGCTTGGTGTGCATGGTACTTGCACACTTTACCCCAGACTTCTTGCGTCTCAGGTAAGCACACTATCAACTGAGCTGTAGCCTCAGCCCAGAAACTAAAACATGTCTAGATGTGTGTATATACCTATGTGTTTGCATAGAGGCCAGGGCCATCAGGTGTCTTGCTCTATCACTCTCCTCATTTCCTTGAGACACAGTCTTTCACCAGCAAGCCCCAGGTACTCTCTCTCCATTTGCCCTAGGAAACAATGGGTGACAGGAGTATGCCACCACACACCATTTTACTGAGTTCTGAGGATTTCAACTCAGGGTCTCATACTTGTGCAGCAGACGGTCCTATCTGCTTAGCCATCTCCCCAGTGATATCCTCCCCCACTTATATTTTTAAAAATAATTGTGTTCTTTTTAAAAATTATTTATTTTTATGTGATTTGGTGTTTTGCCTGTGTGTATGTCTGTGTGAGGTTCTCTGGAACTGGAATTACAGACAGTTGTGAGCTGCCATGTGGATGCTGGGAACTGAACCCCAGGTTCGCTAGGAGAGCAGCCAGTGCTCTTAACCAGCTGAGCCATCTCTGCAGCCCCTCCCCCCACTTTAAGACACTTGCTCGGGCAGGGTTGAAGGTCACCTGGGCTCCAGTCGTCATCACCCTGTGGCTTCTTGAGTAATTAAGATTCATGTCATATACTCAGTGAATATTAGTAACTCTTTTTTTTTTTTTTTTTAGATAAGATCTTTCTTTGTGTCCCTGACTGTCCTGGAACTCACTATGTAGACCAGGATGGCCTCAAATTCAGAGATCTGCCTGTCTCTGCCTCCAAGAGCTAAGATTAAAGGCCTGTGCCACCATGCCTTTTGTACTCTGGCTATAGCCACAGATTCTTGGACTATACTGACTGAGTTATACTCCAGCCACATTGTAAATCTTTTTTTTTTTTTTTTTTTTTTTTTTTGGTTTTTCGAGACAGGGTTTCTCTGTGTATCTTTGGAGCCTCTCCTGGTACTCACTCTGTAGACCAGGCTGGCCTTGAACTCACAGAGATCCGCCTGCCTCTGCCTCCTGAGTGCTGGGATTAAAGGTGTGCACCACCAACGCCCAGCGTCTGCTGGTATCTTTACAGCAGCGGTGCTCTTACTTTGCAAGAACAAAGTGGGCACTGATTTATACAGAGTAAACCAACAATGACAGGGCCAGAGGTAAAGGGCCCAGATGTCACATGGAGATTCCCTTGCTAAATTAACCACTAGGGGATTACTTTGTATCAAGAGAAAACTATATGCTTTACTTCATTTCTTGTGCTCCTTTCTGGTTCAGGGGATGAACTCAGGCCCTCATACATGACTCAAGCCCACTGGAGCTCACATTAACCTCCCGCTACTGAGCCATACCCTAGACCACTCTAGGCCAACCTGATGATTAGCAGTTTTGTTTCTTTCTCCTTCCTAGTTTTTTTTTTTTTTTTTTTTTTTTTTTTTTTTTTTTCTGGTTTTTGGAGACAGGGTTTCTCTGTTTAGCTTTGGAGCCTATCCTGGCAATCCCTCTGGAGACCAGGCTGGCCTGAACTCACAGAGATCCGCCTGCCTCTGCCTCCCGAGTGCTGGCGTGCGCCACCAACGCCCAGCCTGAGTATTTCTTTTTGTGTTTTACTTTTTGAAAGGTGAGATACCCATACAGGCCACACAGCTTCGGGTACAAGCAGCTGTGAGCCACCCAATATGGGTGACAGACCTCAACTCTTCTGTAAGGGCAGTAGCTGTTCTTACCTGTGGAGCCGGCTCTCCCGGCCTCACAGGCTCTTTTTGTTGGCAGATAAGGAGCTAATAGTGGGCACGTGGGCTCTGACCTATCTTCTTTGGTGTTCTGGGGCATTTTCAATGCTGCCTTCATAGAAATGCATGGGATGAACATATATACTTCAGGCTACCCTACCAATAAGTCCACTGCCACCTTCGGTGGCTGGGCATTGACCATGACATACATACCGTGCTTGCTGGGATTCTGGTCCAGAGGAGAAGCAGCACTGGACAAGTTACCCATGGAGTTGGGATGTGTCCACTGAGGGAGGCGTGACTGGGACTGAGATGAGTCCTTCACAGACAAACCACTGCTCACGTCAATGCTGTTGACATTCATGTTTGGGTTCAATCCAGCTGCAAGCACAGGAGTTATTAGCATTTGCCCCTTTCCTGGAAGAAAGGTCTCACTGAAAGTCACCCTCCACCCTTAGGCACAGCCACCAAGTAGGTGCTGGGAATCAAGCCCAGTCCTCTGGAAGAGCAGCCAATGCTCTTAACCACTGAGCCATCTCTCCAGTCCCTACAATTATTTTTGAAATAAATACTACTCCTGAATTAAGGTGAGCATGCTACTAGTCTCCAGGGACAAATGCCTCACAGCCCTGTCCACTGCTGATTCAGTGCTGGACACCAGAGTTCTGAGGCTTCTCAGATGGGGCAAGTTCTGAGGAATCCACAGCACCACTTGGGAAACCCTGACACAGCACCTAAGGAACACGCTGGTCTGTACAAGTCAGCAACACAGGAAACAACTCTTCAGGAGCTCTGGACTGTGGGTGCTGCATTATTGTTTGGGGGGACTGGGCAAGGACAGCACTGTGCTAGGATAACTAAGACTTGAGGGTCATGACAGAAGATTGCAGCAACACATCCTGGTGAGGGTCAGACACTCAGCTGGAGAGGAGCAATCTGCAGCTGAGCAACCCAGTGCTTCCAACCCTCTCTGACAGTGAGTTCCTGTACTACCACTGTGTGACATTAGTGTGCCGATCCCATAATTCCAATCTGTCATGGCAGAGCCAACTCTACCACTCAAGTAGAGTCAAACATTTTAGTTCTCAATTTTAGAGCAGGAGATGCAAATTCAACTGTCCATGGGACATATGGGCAATGAAGACAAAGGGCAAATAGGCCAGTGGGCCTGAGGGCTTGTCCTATGGCAAACTGAACAGGCTCTGCCCTGCCAAAATACGGAGGTACTTACTGCTGGGCCAAATGGAAATAGGTACTGCCATATGGAAAGCAAGGAGGCTCTGGGGCACCACTTGTTGCTACTGGTTTTTTTTTTTTTTTTTTGACAAGTCTCTCTATGTGCCTGTCCCAGAACATGTTACATAGATCAGGCTGTCCTGGAACTCAAAGAGATCTGTCCGCTTGTTGAGTGCTGGGATTAAAGGTGTGCACCACCACACTAGCCATGCACCCGGCTCCGCTCAACAGCTGAAGCTGATGCACAGTCACATACTGTGACTGCCAGGGAATCCTCCTCACAGCCTCTGTTTTCTAGCTTTCATTTCCATACACAGCTCTACCAGGGAAAGCAGCAACAAGGACTAGATGTTACAACACTCTGCCTGCGGTCCTCTCTCCCACGTCGTCATCCTTTAAGTCGGTGAGCCAGCTGGTGTCCTCGAATGAGACTGCCCTGAACACACCAAGGCTCCCTGTTATCTACAAAGGCTTCTTCATTACTTACTGAACCATTACCTGGATCAGCTGGGCCTTAAATTTAAATTTTAATCTTATATATTTTTATATTTCTTTGTTTTGAGGAAGGGTCTTGGTACATGACCTTGCTGGCCTGTTATTTGCTATATAGCCCAGGCTAATCTTGAACTGACAGCAATCCTCCTGCCTCAGCTCCTTAATGCTGAGATCAGAGGTGTATTATCTTGAGCTTATCAAGGTGACAGTGAACCTTTCCTTCTTGAGAGCTCTCGGGTCATTGGGTTACTGTTCCTGTTGACACAGGCAAGGCACCTTGGCCTGGGCTGTGTGAAGGGAGAAGGGGAAAGAGACCTCAGAGTGACATGGCTTCTGGTTTCCTGTCACAGGCTGCTCAGTTTCTAAGTGGCTCTTCAGCATTACTGTTATAGAGAAAAGCCCAGCGCCAACACGACAGACAGTCCATTCCAAAGTTTCCTATACCTAATAAGCTGCCTATTTTAAATGTTATATCACATACATTAAATATATTATAACTATAATTTCAATACCATAACATTTTTATCAAAATAAATCTTTATCCAACTTCAAAGAGTCATTGCACAAGGTGATTCCTACAAGTCAAAGTCTAGCAGGTTAGAGGACAGGTACACCAGGATCTGAGACACTGTACGACAGTGAATGGAGTGTAGTACATTCTGAATAACCATCTTAAAACAGAGGTTCACCATGCATCTGTCATGTGGGATCAGCAACTCTGTAAGCCAAGCTGGCCTCAAACCTAAGTCTACCTAACTAGCGCAACAGCTCAAGTCCTGGGGTCAAAGGTGTGAGCCACCATGTCTAACCAAGAGCTTCACATATTATTAATTCACGAAATCTTGAAAAGAACCCTGTGCAATAAACATTTCTATTTCATATGGACAGGAAAACTGAAGCAAGAGCAACCAGGCAAATTGTACACATTAGCAGTGGGTGGGAACTGGAACCCAGGAGGTCGTAACCAAGGGAGACTTGTGCTTCTCCCACTAAAGGGACAATAATGGACAGGACAATAATGGACAGGACAATAATGGACAGGACAATAATGGACAGGACAATAATGGACAGGACAATAATGGACAGGACAATAATGGACAGGACAATAATGGACAGAATAATGGTGGACAGGACAATAATGGACAGGACAATAATGGACAGGACAATAATGGACAGGACAATAATGGACAGGACAATAATGGGGGATACAATCTAGCTCAGTAGTTTTCAGCTTCATTATGAAGGCATAATACAGCTATTATTTATTTACTTATTTTGGGTTTTCCAGACAGGGTTTCTCTGTATTGCTTTGGAGCCTGTCCTGGCACTTGCTCTGTAGACCAGGCTGGCCTCAGACTCACAGAGATCCACCTGCCTCTGCCTCCCGAGTTCTGGGATTAAAGGTGTGTGCCACCACCACCTGCCACATAATACATTTATTATCAAGTAGGAAGACATGCTATACCATTCTCTATCAAAATATGTATCAGCACGTTGAAGAGGGAGTTGGCAGCTATTCACTGTGACCCAGCTGGCCTCTGCCCCTTTGAAAATGTGTATTTGAAGCTACTTAGTCCCCTTGTCCCATGTCCACAGATTTCTGCCAGCTATCAGCAGATAATTCTGAAATGCTTCTCCTAGCTGCCCATTTGGTGCCAGGAGGTCTCTAGCATCAAGCTTGTTCTGACAGGTCACGTTCTGTGGGAGTGCAGGCCAGCAACCACCCTTATTGAGGGTCTGCTTTATCAGTCTGAACATCACTGACCAGAAGGAAACAAACTCCTATCTATAGCTGAGACTAGAGAACAGAGGCTAGAAAAGAATAGTAGCTAGGCAGTGGTGGCGCACGTTTTAATCCCAGTACTCGGGAGGCAGAGGCAGGAGGATCTCTGTGAGTTCAAGGCCAGCCTGGTCTTCAGAGTGAGTTCCAGGACATCCAGGGCTACACAGAGAAACCGTGTCTTGAAAAACAAACAACGATAAACTAGAATGAACTGAATGGATTTTGCCGCAACAGAGTGTTTTCGTAAGCACCACTCCTCAGCCCCAGGCACCAGATCACACTAGGTCCTTGTTACATAATTCAGGCTAGTCTTCCACTCATAGTAGTACTGCCTCTGCCTCCCAAGTGCGTGGACTGGAGGTGAGTGCCACCATGTAAGGCCTCCCAGGTACTAAGTATCTGAGGTAGTAGTGAACTTGGGCTATGCTGAAGACAGTGTTGTTCCCTCAAGATGAAGTCTGGAGCGTCCACTCTCTGATTCTGCCTCTGATGTGCTGTTTCAGCATAGCCAGCCATTCAGCCCTGGTTACCACAGGAGGGACCTGACACCTGTACCTGGTGTAGCTTTTAAAGACGCAGAGAACTCACCAAGAGGATAAGGAGCAAAGGTGTTGGGTGAAGACTGCTGCTCTTTGGTCTGCAGGTCGGGAAGGCCGGGAGTCTGGGGGTGTGGGGGGAAGCTATCCATGGCCGATTTGCCTGCAGAAGGGTGCAGAGACAGGTGCGGCGGGGGTGGCGGTGGTGGAGGCTGCTTTACAAGCAGGGCCTGGGCCAGCTGGCGCTGGTGCTGCTGGATCTGCTGCTGCAGATTAGTGATTGTGCGTGCAACCTGGCAGGTGGAAACACACACATACACTGCATGTTAGCCAGGGTTGGAGCAGAGTGCACGCATGATCTACAGACTGAGTACATTCCTACCTCAGCCTCTACCAGTGGGCAGCCTCATCCCAGACCTAGCTGGTTCTGGCACTTTCCAAAGAGGAGGCTCAACTGGAAAAAAGCCAGCATCAACCTAAGAGGTCATCCGCTGGGGCTCTTCTACTAGAACCGGAGCCGATGGCAAAGTCCGTCTGAGTGGCACTTACTTGCTGCTCCTGTTGTCTCATGGGTCCCGAAACATTCCGCTGGGCCTGTAGCATCTGCTGCTGGATTTGTAAACGTTGATATGCCTGTTCACAGAAAATTCCAACATCAAAACAAGTGATTCAGTCTCAGTAACATCAGCAAACAGAGAAAGAAATTCTTAGAATGATCTAGATTACAGGTTGGACTGGCTGGAAGATGGGGTGGAAGTCTCCAAAGCTCGGTGCACTTGTGCATGAAGCACTCGGTGACGGACTCCTGGACAAGCTGGAAAAATGAGCACCATACTCTGGCTGAATACTGCTGATTTTCTGTACAACACATATTTTGGGAGACTTTTTGGATAGAGGACTCCTGTAGGTATTTCCAAATCAAACAGCCCCGGATTCACAAGTCCCTCTGTGAGGTTTCATACGCAGTAAACAAGTGCTGGGAAGGCGTTACCAGGCGCAGCTGCCTGCCAGTTGCAGTCCAGGGAGCTCAGGGATGCAGCATTTGTGAGCCCATGCTGGGGTGGGCTTTTTGGTGACACAGCTGTCCAGGTCACTCATGCTCCTGTAAGTAATGCCAACAAACTCACTGGGTCACCAATCCAGACTCAGGTGGAACTGGTTCTTTAGTTTGCTGGTGGTGCCCATTTGATCCTCTCTCTCCAGGAAAAGACACACAGAAGACTTAAGTTACACTGTCTTAAAAAAACCAAAAACCCAAACAAAACAAAACAAAAACAATTTTGCCTGGCAGTGGTGGCGCACACCTTTGACCCCAGCACTGGAGGGAGAGGCAGGAGGATCTCTGTGAGTTCAAGGCCAGCCTGGTCTATAGAGAGAGTTCCATGGCTGTTACACAGAGAAACCCTTTCTCAAAACCAAAAGAAAAAAAAAAAAAAAGCCTCATTAGTTGCAGATAAGGTTTTCACTTAAGAATTCTCTAGAAGTTCTAAAACTGTAGTAAGTAGTAAACTTCATTTCTCTCATTTTTCTGGAAAAAAAAATGTGACCAGAATATACCAGGTGCAAGCCAACTTCCTTCCATCTTAGCCATACAAGGAAAGCCTGCTGGGTAACAAAGGCTGTTTGTGTACACCAGGTGTAAGCCAGCCTCTTCTTGTATCTTCCACACCACAGGAGAGACCCTGCTGAGAAACACACCCCCAGGCCCAGCCCTGGCTTGTGACAATACTGCAAGCTCTGCAGTGTCCCCCAGACACTAGCTGTGCAGCACTGTAACCCTTTTCTGCCCTGCTTCTGTGACTTCATAGGTGTACTGTCCCCTTCAGGGAGGCTTTGTGGGAGGGGCGGCGATGACATCACACAGACGGGATGCAGGCATGTGACTCCCTAGTTAGGGGTCTGTGTTGCTTTGAAAGAAAATGGTCCCCAGAGGGAGTGGCACTCACTATTAGGAGGTGTGGCTTTGTTAGAGGAGGTGTGTTATTGTGGGGGCAGGTTTTGAGGTCTCATATATGCTCAAGACACACCTAGTGTCTCAGACCACTTAATGTTGCCCGTAAGATGTAGGACTCTCAGCTACTTCTCCAGCACCATGCTCCCCACAAGTGCTGGGCACTGAACTTGGGTCTTTTGGGAGAACAGCCAGTGCTCTTAACTGCTGAGCCTTCTCTCCAGCCCCTAAACCACACAACTTTTAAGAACTCCTGGGACGAATTAGCTGATCTCAACTGAGGTTCTGGGAGACCTGAGTTTGAATAGCTTCTCCTCTATGATCCTATGATGGTTTTTGTGTATACCATCCTGGGGAGAAGTGAGGAAGTACTGTTTAGTGTTCTGTGGCTCAGAGGAGAAACTGAGAGATCTAAGGGATAGATAGGCCCAAGACATTAACAAGCTTCGGAACAGTGATACCCTTGAACAAAACCTTTCCTAGTTCATCAACAGTCACAAGACAGTGCAATGTGGAAAACAGTGTGATAGCAGCTTCATCTGTCAAGGTGTTTCTGTTGCTTCCTGACGTGAGGTCTCTCTCTAGACTGGGACCATTCCAAAACTTACCAGCTGCAGCTGATAGAGCTGGTTCAACATCGTCATATGCTGAGGGTTAATTGGCGAGGTTAATAGTGCAGGGCTGAGACCAATGTTTTTTGCTGCAAACTGCAAAAGCTGTGCTTGAACCTGTTTAATAGAAAACATATCAATGAAGCACCATCTCTATGGAAACATGCACTTTATCTGTGTGCAGCTTTGTTTTTGGACGCAAACTGGTGGTTAACTGATATTGCATCTGTTTGACAGATGAACTTGAGAGGCCAGCAGAACTTAGTATAACATGTTCAGATACAGAAGATAGTAGTAAATCTTCTAAAACTAATGGGTTTTTTGTTTTGTTTTGTTTTGTTTTAAGCCAGGTGTGGGAGCCAGGCAGATCTCTGAGTTCAAGGCCAGCCTGGTCTACATAATGAGTGAGTTCCAGGACATTTAGGGTTACCTAGTAAGATCCTGTCAATAAAAACGTAATTTTTTTTCTTTCTTGAGACAGGATCTCATGCAGCTCAGGCTAGCTTCACACTGGCTATGTGGTGGATGGCCTTGAACCCCTCCTGATCCTCTTGCCTCTACTGAATTCTACGATTGCAAGCAAGGGCCACCCTGCCAGAAGATTTCTTGCTCTAAATACTTTAGCTGTACATTTATTTTCCATGGCTTGAGGCCAGTCCTAGAGGTTAGTTTATGTTCTGCCAAAGGGAAACTTTAAGGTCTGGAGGGGAGAAGATACTAACCCAGTTAACTGCTACCTCAGCAGGAGGAATACATCTTACACAGGTGCCCCAACCAGTCACCATGGGAGCAGATACACCTTCACTAACACATGTAAACTTATTTTTCTACCAAGTTCCAGCCATCTCAACTCACTGTGTACACCTGTTCTTTCCCACAGGTCAACACTGACTTCCTATGTTTGAAGGTCAGAAAATGAATCTCCCTAATCCCTAGGCTCAAACACTCTCAAATGTAGTGGTCAGAAGTGGAAATTTTGTCAGGAGATGGAGAGATGGATTAGCAGTTTTTTGTTTTTTGTTTGTTTTTTTCCAAGACAGGGTTTCTCTGTGTAGCTTTGGAGCCTATCCTGGCACTCTTGCTGGAGACCAGGCTGGCCTGGAACTCACAGAGATCCGCCTGCCTCTGCCTCCCGAGTGCTGGGATTAAAAGAGTGCACCACCAACGCCCAGCTGGATGTCTCAGCAGTTTAGTGTACTTTTTGCTCTTGTAGAGTTCCTGGGTTCAGTTCCAGTACCCACATGATGGCTTACAACAATCTGTAAGTAACTCAAGTCCCAGGCTTTAGATACCCTCTCTTCTGACCTCTTTGTACACCAGGTACAAACACTCACTACACATAAAACAGGCAAAACATTCATACACATAAAATAAAATTGACCAACAAATTAAAAAATAGAAGGGGATTTGGGAACTGATTAGGTTATAAGGGCTCTGTCCTCAGTGGGATCAGTGCCCTCGTCAATGATACCCAGGGAAGCTTGCTGCTTGCTTGACTCTGGATGCAGAAAAGCTGCCATTAGGATGAACAAGCCCTCCCTCACAGGCGCCAGAACCTCTGCATCCTTGCTCTTGGATGTGCAGCTTTTCAGAACTACAGGACGACTGTAAATTATCCACTTCAACAAATTGCACAGCACTTAAATTAAATGTCACAAGTGGAGGTGAAGGATTACCACACTTTCTTTTAAAACAGGTTAGACATAAGACTTTCCAGAAACCCCAAACATCTCCTGGGTAATAGAGGTCTTCATAAGAAGGTAGTTTTGTGGGGTGTTGGTGGCGCACGCCTTTAATCCCCACACTCGGGAGGCAGAGGCACACGGATCTCTGTGAGTTCGAGACCAGCCTGGTCTCCAGAGTGAGTTCCAGGACAGGCTCCAAAGCAACAGAGAAACCCTGTCTCGAAAAACCAAAAAAAAGAAGGAAGCTTTGTTTCTGTCACAGAGTCCTAGGACTCTTGCTCTTTCTGCAGGATCCACAATTACAGATTGATTAGAGCTCTGGATTACCTCAGGTTCAAAGATCGCATCAATATGAACTGATTCCTAACTAATATTCTCTCCCCTCCCTCCAAGACAGTGTCTCTCTGCAACCTGGCTGTCCTTGATCTGTAGACCAGATGTGCACCACCACTGCTGCCTGGCTTCTGATTATTAATGCCCTTTTTCTTTTTTGATGGTTTTCTGAGACAGGGTTTCCCTGTAAAACAGCCCTGGCTGTCCTGGAACTTGCTTTGTAGACCAGGCTGACCTTGAACTCACAGAGATCCGAATATAAAAGAATCTTTATGGTCTGGGCTAGAGAGATGGCTCAGCAGACAAGAGCATTGGCTGTTCTTGCAGAGGACCTGGGTTTGAATCCCAGCACCCACATAGTGGTTCACAGCTGTTTGTTACTCCAGTTCTAGGGGATCTGACACTCTGCCTCCAGGGGTACCTAGCATATACATGGTGTACACACATACATACAGTCAAAACACCTATGCACATAAAATCAAAAAGAATCTCTTTAAGTTCCTGGGTGTTGTGGTGTACATCTTTGATCCTAGAATTTGAGAGGCGGAGACAGAAACAGATGGATCTCTGTCAGTCCAAGGCCAGCCTGGTCTACATAGAGATCCTGTCTTGTACATACTCTGTTACAAACACACACACACACACACACACACACACACACACACACAATAAACCAGACAAAAAAAAAGAAGGAAACTTAAACAGAAGAAAGAGAAAGAAAGAAAGAAAGAAAGAAAGAAAGAAAGAAAGAAAGAGTGCTGGCCAGTTTTATGTCAACTTGACACAAGCTAGAGTCATCAGAGAGGAAGGAGACTCAACTGAGAAAATGCCTCCATTATTGGGCTGTAAGCAAGCTTGTACTGTATTTTCAATTAATTAGTGATTGATGGGGGAGGGAGAGCCCAGCCCATGGTGGGTTGTGCCACCTCTGGGCTGGTAGTCCTGGATGAGCACGCTGAGCAAGCCATGGGGAACAAGCCAGTAAGCAGCTCCCCTCCATGGCTTCTGCATCAGCTCCAGGCTCTAGGTTCCTAAACTGACTTCTTTCAATGATCAACGTGATGTGGAAGTGGAAGCCTAATAAACCCTTTTCTTCCCAAATTGCTTTTGGTCATGATGTTTCATCACAGCAATGACAACCATAACTAGGACATACACCATAAAAACAATAAACAAATACAGAGAAACCCTGTCTGGAAAAAAACAAAAAAACAACAACAACAAAACCCAACTACAACAAATGAACAACCTCTCTCCTCAAAAAAAAAAAAAAAAAAAATCTCACCAGGCAAAAAGGATCAGCTAGTAACTATAATTCCCAATCTATAGCATACACACTCTTAAGTTTCTCAAGATGGGGTTTCTCTGTGTAGCCCTGGCTGTCCTGAACTCACTCTGTAGACCAGGCTGGCCTTAAACTCAAGAATTATGCCTGCCTCTGCCTCCCGAGTGCTGGGATTAAAGGCGTGAGCCACCACACCAGGGCAGTGAACCCTGACACACAATTCCAACTGCCATCTCACTAAAGCATCACTGTCCTGGCTGTCCTGGTGGCCTCTTCCTGATGTTCCACACCAACAGCAGCCTGCTGGCTTTCGTTCCAGAGAATCCCATCATGTTATCACAGTAATTTCCTCAGAGAAGATCAGATAAAAACCAAGCACAGTGTGCGAGGCTCCCAGGGTCAGACCTGAGGGGATAGAAACTGAGGCACTTGAGCACGGAGGCTGGGCTGGGAGGAGTTAAGAGGCTGCACTGGCGGCTGCTGCATGGTCCTGGCTTGTGCTGCTCCGCTATTGCCAAACACACCCAGATTGCCACTCGGGATCTGCGGAGACAGAACAGCACTTAGGAAGTGGGGTAGGCAGATTGGGGAAGGGTGAAGTGACAGGGTTCCCACCACGAATGCCAAGGTTTTTCTGTTTCCTACCCCTCAACCTTACCCCTACGTGTACAATATGAATGCTATTTGTATAGGTTATAGAGGATGGAAAAATTAGCCTAAGACGTGGTCTATGCTTTTAAATCACAGGACACACACACATCAGTGCATTTTAAAGTGTACCCAAACAAGTCTGTCACAGTGAAAGAGATAATTAAGACTGTTTCAAAATAATAGTAAAAAGACATGTAGCCTGGGTGACAAATTTCTTTCCCAGAAGGAACCGAACTCTCTATGTTCAGTCAGGCAGAGAAAAAATGTGCCGGTCACCGTGAAGCAGGCAGAGGAATCTATTTCAGTTCAGTTGCTTCAACAACCCCAAGGCTGCATCAATTAGCAGAGTCCGAAGTTAACCTGACGTCCTCCATGTTGTGGCATGAGCCCCCCAGCTGACAGGGTGGAGCAGGATGCACTTCCTGTTGGAAAGCTGACTGAGGGACTGGGCAGAAGAGCATGCTAAGCCCGTGCTATGCCCTCATCAACTGGGTTTCTAGGGTTCAGACTTCCCACTAAACTTCACCAAGGAGCTGCAAAGAGCCGACAGACAGGGCCACAATAACCCGTCAGCGACTGCTCAGTCTCTTAGCAGACACTCAGGTCTCCAGATCCTTTCTAGGATGTAACAAACAGGTAAGACAGCCAGAAGGCTCTGGAAATCTCACTGAAGTCCTTGTACCTGGGGAGAAGGGCCCCCAAAGTGAAGACCACTTGGTAATACACCAGCACTTCCCTTAGTAGCAAGTTAGTTCTGGGTGCAGAGAGGCACTTAAATATATTTTAGTTCAGTGTGAAAACAACCTTGACACATTCCTATAGAGTAGCTAAATTTCAAGAAGTGCCCCTCAGTTCTGAGCTTCCATGAGCACTGCAAGGAGAGTCTGGGAGCACTTGAGTGCTTTTCCATACTCCCTCATGTCTTAAGATCAAAGAATCAATTGAAAACAGTACAATTCATTCTCTAACAGTTTAGAAGTCAGGAGAATGAGTAGAGACCACTGCCTGCTCTTTCCCAACAGCCTTACCTGTCTAGAAGAGTTCAAGTTTTGCATGCCCAGCCCTGAGGCAATCCCACCCAGGGCCTGATTGGGGAGTGCACTGTTGGAAAGGGGGAGCTTCAGGCTTGGGGAAGGCAAAAACGGTGAAGTCGTGGGCTCTTCCACGAGGCCGCCATCCTGATTGGAGAAAGAAAGGGTGAGCTGTGTGTGGTGCCCGCCGGCACGCAGTGCACCAAACAGTTTCCCACGGAAATAGTGAGAGGGGGATGGATGGATAAAGAATTAAACGATAAAAATGTGTGGAGAATGAGGCAATGGAGGACATGGGCAAAAGGAAGAGGGAAAAGAGAGAGAGAAACAGGATTAAGACGCTGCTTTTGCTAAGACACTGACAAGCACATACTTTAGCTTCTAGCATTCTTCCCCCTGCCCAACTGGAGGCTCCAAGAGCACAGCTCTCCAGGGAGGCACAGCTCCTACCTCCACACAGCACTTGACTCAGTTTTATAAACAGAAGATCCTACTGACCTCGGCTGCACTGAGGTTACACTACAGTGCCAAGCTCTGCAAATCTAGTATCTCATCTATGGCACAACCAACCCGCAGATAACTCTACACGTTAGAGAAAGAGCTCAGGTCCCAATTATTCTTCCATATGCAGCAAATAAAAATAAATGTAGTGGCCCACACCTAGACTATCAGTATCCCGAGGCTGAGGCAGGAGGATGATGAGTTTGAGGTCAATAACTTAAATTTCCAGGATGCCAAAAATTTGGCATTTCAGATAAATACAAATAATTTTTAGTATGAATGTGCTCCTGACCACGCATGACACAGCTCATCTGCCTGTGTGAAGCATAGGGAGACTCATCAGGGTGTCAAGGGCTCATTAGGGAACAGAACTTGGATGGAATCAGGGCTCCGGTGCACACTAAGTCAAGTCTTGTTCATATTGTAAGGAGGCTTTGAATTTGAAATCCTCCTGCCTCAGTTTCTTGAGTAGCTGGGATTACAAGCTAGTGCCTCCAAGCCTCATTTTTTTTTTTTTAAAAACACTTGTCTTTTCTTGCTTCAGTTTTATTTTCAGGGTTCAAGATTTAAATTGAATTTAATGTAATGTTTTCTCCTTTTGAAGTCATATCACTCTGAGGAAGGTACATTCTCCCATAATCACACTAAAGAGGGACAGTGCTCTGACTGAATTTAAAACACCAGAGAGGTTCCCCTGGGTACTTATTGTGGCCACTGGCAAGAGGGGCCAGCCAGGCATAGGTACTCAACCCCAACACTCCTTTTCTGAGCTTAAACCTGCTAAGTATCATTTCCAGTTGGAAGAACTGAGTATTCCAAGCAAGACAGAAAAAAATGAGCACCCTGGCCTACTGCCTAACAGAACAGATAACTGTCAGGTTTGTATGGTAACAAGAAGAGCCAGTTTTCCATCTGAGCACCTCCCAGGTCTTATGACACTATGTGTAATACAACAGTCCTCTTGAGTTAAACATTCTTACATGTAAGGAAATGTGAGGCAAAAGCCACTTACATGTCCTGACTTCCCATCTGACTTGCTTTAAGGACACAGCTCAAATAAAAAGACTTCTTGTTGAAGGTAGAAACAAAACACCTGCCTAGATCCATACCTTGTCAAGGAAGGTGGGGCGGTCCATGGAAGACTCTTTGGAGATTGGTGGGCGGCAGCCGAGGGTTTTGGTGACCATTCCATTGTAGTCGGTCATTCCCAGTCCACGCTTGTCCATGTCCACCTTCTTTTCCAGCAGAGCGCCTGGGGCACAACACAGAGAGATCAACACTGAAAACAAAGGGGCATAGGACAGGCAGCGGCGAGGGCCTCGGGAAGGGGGTGGCGCCTTGGCTGCTGGTGAGGCGCTGGGGCATCATGAGCCTGAGCTGCTCTGCTCTCCAGCCCCACAACCACCCTGCACACCTGCGATTGGGCCCCGCTCCTGCCCACTCTGGCCACACTGCCCTCTAGGGAGCTTAGTCCCTAGGGAGCCTAGTCACCTGTCCATTCTCTGCCTTGGGATGAACTTCCTCTGCTTCCCAGACCTGAAAGCTCCCTACACCTCATGGTCACTGCTTCTCACCCACTGCCAGTTGTCAGGGAGCTTTTGTCCCAGTGAATTGTGTTTCGGTCACTTTAATTGTGCTCTTCAAGTCTAAGAGGCTGTACGTCACTGTTGCCACTTGCCTGGCTTCCCTGCCTGACACTATGTCCAACAAGACTGACATTGTATATTCACATACTACGTACTGTAGGGCTGAGGGCTGGCTCAGTCATCAAAGGCTAGGCTCATAACCAAAAATATAAATGCACTACTGTCTGTCCCTGTAGGTTGGCAGAAAACCTGACTGCTGACAAGTGTCCAGTTTAGGTCAGACAAGGCAGTATTCTAGGACCTTACACTGAAAAGTGTCTGTGGTGCTTTGGTGCTCTATTCTTCACAGAGGTGTGGTTTTTGTTGATTTTGGAATTAAAAATACCCACTACCTAATGTAGTGCTGTGTGGTGGTCCTCAAGCAAGAAAGCTACTGTGCCCTGCAAACATGCACATGCCAGGTCATTTTCTTCCAGGCGTGAGCTGCAGCACTGTGGATTGTGATTCAGTGTCAGCAACAAAACCCAGGGGAGCAGAGGAAAATGGGAGAAGAAAAGGATTCCCTGGTGAGGCTGCTCACAGGCGCTGGGGTTCAGGGAAACAGGCAGGCACAGTGACACTGGCAATACGGCTCAGCAGTAGAGGAGTTCACTATGCAAATCTGGTGACCTGACTCCACAAAAAACTGTCGTCTGACCTCCACACATGTACCATTGTAATGCATACATACAACTAAAAACATGCATAATGGGCAGTATAACTGCCAGTCTGGGTAAAAAAAAAAAAAAAAAAAAATCAGTCACATTACCCAGGGTCAGGAGACACTATATCCCGATTAACTCACATTAAAAAAGCATGTTAAATAAAGTGTACAGAAAAATACACATAAAGAGGGCTCTGTCTTGGCTAAGGAAATGCTGGCAGTGGCTTTAGAAAATGCAATTGCCAAGAACACAGGGGCAGAGACTGTAGTTGTCTGCTCGTGCCCTTGGGCCTCCAGTGCAGGTCTCCAGGCTCTGACTCCAGCACTGGGTGCAGGCCTGATGTGGTCTCCAAAGTGCCTGAGCAATGCACGACAGTGGCCCACTGGGGCCTTTCCATTGCTTGGGCTTCGACTATGCAGCCCTGGCTGCTAACGATGGGGACACTGGCTATCCAAAAGCAGGAAGTGTGCTGTTCCTGGCTGCTGGACTCTTCTCTGGGATCCTAGCAGGCCTTGTAGGCCTAGGTAAGGCCTAGCAGCCTTACCAGCTGTGGTGGTTTGAAATAAAATGCTGCCCAAAGAGAGTGGCTTTGTTAGAGTAGGTGTGGTCTCATTGGAGGACGTGCATCACTGTGCAGATGGGTTTGAGGTCTCATATATGCTCAAGCCATGCCCAGAGACACAGATCACCTCCTGTTGTTGCCTGATGATCAGATGTAAAACTGTCAGTCTCTCCAGCACCATGTCTGCCTGCATGCTGCCATGGCACACCTCTGAAACTGTGAGCCACCCCAATGAAATGTTTTCCTTTATAAGAGTTGCTGTGGTCGTGATGTCTCTTCACAGCTATAGAAAATCTAAGACACCAGTTGTCCCAGGATCCCAGGAATGTGTGGGTTTTTCTAGTTATATCTGGGACCTTGGCTAGCATTATGGGAATGGGACTCCAAACTCTGGGAAATTTATGGCTTCAGGTTTAATCGCAGGTGCCAGTTTGCTGATGGTTGCCAAACTTGGAATTAGTATGTTGACTTCACCCCATCCATAGTAACCACATCCCTGGTTTTGGTCATGAAGAATCGAAACTCTCTAAATCGCCACACTCACAAAGTACAAAGAAAAAAGTGCTGCACATGTACATATTCGGACGTTTTGCAAACCATACACTGGGCGTGGTCAGGTGGAGAGGAGCTGTTAGGTTGTTAGAGGCAGTGGGTGTGTAACGGAGGTTTCTGTTGCCTTCATGCACTTCATTCTTGTGCGATGGCTCTCTCCTTCTGTACTAGTACAGTACATAAGGTGCAAAATGTTGGGCGTCAGCACTGGGGACCCTAGAGTCACATGTTCTGCCCAGAAGTGTGTGAAATCTCTTGGTGACATTGTGATGTGGGATCTTTTGCATAGGTCTGCTATGAAATCATGTCTCAGTAAAATATCAGTGAAAATAAAGTTTGCTATTAACTTTTTTTTTTTTTTTTCTGAGGCAGGGTTTTTCTGTGGCTTTGGGGCCTGTCCTGGAACTAGCTATTGTAGAGCAGGCTGGTCTCGAACTCACAGAGATCCGCCTGCCTCTGCCTCCCGAAGGCTGGGATTAAAGGCATGCACCACCAACGCCCGGCTGCTATTAACTTTTAAAAAATATAGTGTGGTAATCTTTTGCTTATGACCCAACAAATAAATAAAGCTTGCCTGAAGATCGGAAAAGCAAAGCAGCCAATCACTAGAGCGCTCTTACCTCTACCAAGTCTCAGACCAAAGGGGCGATCCTGTCCTCAGTGTGACTGCAGACTGACTGACTGCTGTCTCCTCCTGTCTTATATTCCTCTCTAGCACTGGTAAAAGGCATGCACCACCACTGCCTGGTCTATATGGCTGACAAGTATGTCTAGCTTTGCACTCTGATCTTCAGACAAGCTTTATTTGTTAGATCATAAACAAAATATCACAATATAGACCATATATATTTTTTATTTTTGGGGGGAGAGGGGAGACAGGGTCTCACCAGTAACTCTGGTTGGCCTACAATACATAGAGGTCTGCTTGCCTCCTGAGTGCTGGGATTAAAGACATACGCCACCACACCACGACTGATAAACAGTAATTGTTTAATAGCTCAAGAATGTGTTACTTGTTCCTGACTGGTACTTTCGGCACTGTGCCTGCCAGACTACTCGGGGCCAAGGATGGATGGGTGTGCTCCGTCTGGCCTGGGATGCCGGCAGCTCACAATGCAGATGAACGTCAACTATTCCGGATTGAGAATGCCTATGTCAGCGGGGCAGGGCTCTGTGTCTGTGAGAGTGGTTTCAGGGATAGACGGTCTAGGATGAGGGATGGATCACTTTATGGACGCATAGCACGATTATTGGAAGACGGTCACTAGCGTGTGTGTCCTATGGGCTGTGCATTTCCTTTCCTGTATCCCTCTCTCCCTCCTGCCTACAGGAAGAAGGTTGTTCACTGCATGCTCTTGTCCAACTGCAAAGGGCCAAGTGACATGGACTGAATTCCTGAAACTGTTAGCCAAAAGAAATATTCCTCCATGTAAGTTATTTTTGTGACAGCGATAAGAAGAGCCAGCTAATATAAACATGAGCCATTTATATGTTGAACTACTATCAAGAAAATAAATGAAAAAGGCAAATACATTGCTGACATGGCATACTGTCTCTATAGCTCACCTGTCCCAGACACTTGCCATGTGACTGGTGTGTTCTGTGGCTGCTCTTTCCCTGGAGCCTGGATTTGTCTTCAAGTTTAACCATGACTACAAGCAAATGGTTCTACAAAGCAACACTTCCCAAGAGGCACCGGGGAACAGATGCCCTGTTACTTACTCATGGCCTGGTCAAGGTTCATACTGTTGCTCTTCAAGGCCTCTTCAGCTGGCTCTCTCTAGGGGCAAAGCAGAGCTCTCATTAGTGGCACACAGACAGACAGACAACCAGAGTAGCTCCTCAAGAGCTCAGCCCCCCCAGCAGAGGAAGTGGTTACCAGTACAGTCTCTGGAATTGGAAATGCTTTTCTCTGCTGTTGAGGTCAGAGACAGTATTTTTTTTTAAGATAGGATCTCATCAAGTGTGGTGGCACAGGCCTTTAAATTCAAGCACTTGGGAGGCAGAGTCAGATCTCTGTGAGTTTGAGACCAGCCTCATCTATATAACAAGTTTCAGGCAAGCCAAGGAGACATAGTAAAACCCTGTCTCAAAAACCAACAACAACAAAAAAAAAAGGGGGGGGAAGGGCAGAGTCTCATGGACTGGCCTGGGAACTCCATTATCTACGTTATCTATCCATTATCTATTCCTGGCTCTGCCTTCTGAGCATTAGACAGACAGTTCCTGTAAATAGAAAACGCTTGTGGCTAAAAAACGATTGTACTGAGTCTAGACCTGAGAGTCAGAACTTGTATCTGCGCCTTTAACCTCAGCAGGCAGGTCTCTATGCATTTGAGGCCATCTGGCCTGCACACCGGGATCTTGTCTCAAAAAGAAAGAAAACTTTGATCTAACATCCTAGAAATAAAACGAGGGGTCTAGGAAGCTTTGTAAGCACTTTTACACTTGCTTCTGCACAGCTACAGCACCGAGCAGTGACAATCGGCGGGATTACAGAGCTGTGGGCTCACATGCAGGTCCATGTCTAATCTGTCACTCTGAGTGCCAGGACCTATGTAACGTCAATCTTTTGTGTGTCATCATTGCCGGTCTCTATCAACCAAACTTTCGTCCAAGAAACAAGAAAGCCCACCAGATTCGTGTGCTAACTGCTCTGTTACCAGTACCGACAGAGCTCTGCAGAAAATCAACATTGCCTGCTACGGGCTGGAGAGGAGGCTCAGCAGTTAAGAGCTCCTTTTTGCCAAGGACCACAGTTCATTTCCCAGCACCACACTAAGTAGCTCACAAATGCTTGTAACAACTCCAGTCCCAAGAGATCTCAGACTCTTTTCTTGCCTCTGCAGGCACTGGGGGCACCCCCCCCCCAACACACATATACATATATACAGAGAGCACTGGCTGCTCTTTCAGAGCACCTAGTTAGATTCCTAGCACCCACAAGGCAGCTGGAAACAGTCTTAACTCTAACTCTAGGAGATGCAACACCTTCCTGACCAGGCAGCAGGCACACACCTAGTATATGGACATAATGTGGACAAAACACCACCATACATAAACAAATTAATGAATTCAAAAATGAAAATAAGGGCTGGAGAGATGCCTCAGAGGTTAAGAGAGCTTACTGTTCTTGCAGAGGACCTGGGTTCAGTTCCTGACACCCACAACATGGTTCACAACCATTATTCCAGTTCCACAGGATCTCATATCCACTTCCGGCCTTTGCAGGCTCATAAGCTCATACACACTCATATACATGTACATAAAGAATAATTTAAACATTTGAAAAGAGTATTTAGAAAACAGAAAACCAAATTTGTTGGGGCTACCGTGGGTGGGGCATGCTGTGATACCCTCCGCAGTATTTCCTGGCCCTTCTGGAGAGAGGCTGCCTGTTCCATAGGGTTGTGTCTTGCTCAGCTTATACAGTACCAGTGTAAGGCACAAGGTCATTCTGGACCTATTCCTTTTTAGATAAATGCTCATCGAACAAGGGTCTGGAAAAAGACACGTTTTGGGCTTCCATGTGGACCACAGGCACTAGCTTGCTCTCTGGATTCTATCACCTGGCCTGAGGGAGTGAGAAGAATGAGGCGCCTCTTCGGGGGACACCCGGGACACCTTAGTTCTGTCTACACACCACTGAAAACTTAGGAGTGAAGCTGATTTGTTAGGACGCCTTGGGGAGGATCCATGTTTTAGTTTGGTACTTGATTTCTTGCTGAATCTTTTTATTTACTACATAAAGGAATTAAACTCACTTGTAATTATGAATCACAACAAAATATGAAATTGTCTAAGTCCATGGAAATTACAAATCATACAGCCTTTTATTTAGGAAAAGGCATTCTTGATGGAAATTGCGTGATTCTTTGCTGTACTCATGGCCTAGGTCAAAGGGAACTTAGTAATAATTAGATAGTAACACCATCCCACAAGCATCTCTTCCTCCTCGCACACTGCAGGCAGGATAGGTAGTGCTTTCAGACCACCCACAAGGAGAGTGGGCGGGCATCAAGAGGCCAGTTACCGGGAAGCCCATGTCTGTGAGTTGTTTGATCAGCCGGCTCATGATCCAGGCCTCATCCTGCTTGCCAGGTGTCTTCATGCCCTGGAACAGAGTGGACAAGAGTAAAGGCCAACAGTTACTTTTAATATCACATTAAATGGGTGACAGCCCAAACTCAGCGACAGCAGCCACACAATCCTGTGAGTGTACACCTCAGAGGCCAGCATCACGTTCACACCGTGGGAAACTACAGGTGTACTTGTAGGCTGATGAATGCATGTCATTTATGGATTAACAAGAAGGAGGGTATTATTTCTCTTTTTATAACATTATTTGTTTCATCACAATATGTATTATTTCCATTGGTCATAAGGAATGCCTCTAAGCTCAGTACTATGTGAAGTTTATTAAAGATTACATGGGTTTGACCCTTATAGAAGCCTTATTTCCAACAATGACAGAATGCAGAGGTCTTGTTCCTGGTAATGAACGAGCCACATAACAAAGGAAGAACTACCCATCCTCATCCATATTCTGGCCCACCTTCTGGCCAGAAGAAAGGTGTATGAAAGAAAATGAGGACAAAAGCCAACCACAGAGAAAAGGCAGGGGGCACCAAGGGCGCCATGAGAACCAGGTATGTAAGATGGAGCAATGTCTTAGGTGTTCTCCCTAAAACCAAACTAAAAACCCTCAACAGTGTCCCTTGCTGATGTTTTCACTCCATCAAGTGTCCTGAGGATGCAGACACAGACTCTGATTGGCTGCTGCCCTACAGACAGCATGCTCATTTTCACTTCTGATGACAACAGTGTCACAAAAGAACTACCAATGCCCATGACAAATGGCAGAGCTATGTCCATGTGCAGGTGAGGCTCATGTACAATCTCGGCAAGGTGCTTGAGAGCAGACAATCTTCCAATTGATTCACTTCTGTGTTCTGGTTTTGAGGACCAAGTCCACAGTCACTGGGTAGCCTGGCTCTCAGGGGCGTGTTTAGTCAACCTCTGGATTTCTGTTGGTCCAAGATGAAAAATGGTACCTCTCACTATTGGCTTAATTGGCCCTTCTGAGAGTCAGGACGGCCGCCCTCTCATTCCTCTCAGGACACCACCTCATATTCCCCTCTGATCAACTTTACACTCTTTGCTCATTTTCACTGGGATATTGGACACTTTTAAGTATCAGGGAGATCAGCCATTTTTAGGATGTAAATGGTATTTCCCCCTACATTCTCCCTCCTTTTTGGCTTTAATTAGGAGTTACGTGCATATTTTATGATTCTTTTGCAATCCACATACCACCTGAGCCCCTCAAAAAGAACTTATTGGAAAAGACAAAATTTTATTAATAGGAAAACAGTTTTGACCTTTCAGATATATAGAAAGGATTAGAGTCCCAAGAGCGAATGCTTTGCACGGTTGACCGGATGTGCCCAGTCTGCAGCACAGACTGGCTGGCCTCCAGGCCTCTCCGGCAGCCTACCTTCTGAAGTCCCTTTTTAGAGGCATTGCCCCAGGAGCTACAGGATGAGCTGCCTTCTTGAGAGACACCATTATTCCACATGTCCCCATCCTCGTCTTCCCACTGGCTGGCGCCCAGGTTCATTTCGTCCCCACCACTGCCCCAGCCTTCTTGCATAGATTTGGAAGCTGGAAGAGAGCAGATAGGAACTTGTCAGACTCACCTGCCCTGAGAAGAAACCTGTGTCACATGGCACAACAGGAATTGGGAAAACATGAACAATGTTATCTATCTACCTTTTAGCTGTTTCTTTTCTCTCAGGCAGCCACAAGATAAAGTTATAATGTTTTCCTTCTAAACTCCAGCTGTGTTGCTCTAAACTTCCTCCACCAACTACACACCATTTGACACACAGGCATTGTAGAAACAAGTCCTGAGGCTGGGGGTTGGGGTTGTGGTTGGGGGAGTGGGGGTGAGAATTGGGGGTGGGGGGTGGCAGTCTCTTCATAGCATGAAAATGCCACTCAAATGTGACATCCTGGAAAAATGTCACTATCCTCCTTTCAGGTCTTAGTCTTAGCCAGAGAGAACCCCCGGGGTAATATTTACCCAGGCCAGTGCTCTCACACCTGGCAACAGGCAGGAACAGGCAGGGATCACATTACAGGAAGCAGGTCTGGATTTGTAAGTAGCCGTCTAGAAGATGTCCACTGACTCAAGACAGGGGACTCAAACAGACAAATAAATTTTCTTTTCAAGATATTACTACTTCTTTAAAAACAATTAGTGGGTTTTTTTTTTTTTTTTTTTTTTTGGTGTCAAATTGCCACCCACAGTTTACTTCTTAGAAGAACGAGGCTGAAGTTCAGGTGGCAGCGGCAGGCTGTTTAAGACGCTAATACCTAAAACCCGGGGCTGAAGAGAGAGAGAGAGAGAGAGAGAGAGAGAGAGAGAGAGAGAGAGAGAGAGAGAGGGGGGGGGGGGGGGGGAGGAGGGGTTCAGCAGCAGGTAGTAAGAGGCTTCCTGACCTTCCATAGGACCTGAGCTTGGTTTCCAGCACCCAAGCTGCAATTAACAACTGCAATTTAACACCAGCTCCAGGGGATCTCTCTCTCTCTCCTGGCTTCTGAGAGCACCTGCACACATGTGATGTAATTCAACACAGACACACACTTATGAACATAAATAAAAATAAACACACCAAAAATTTGGGACTGAGGACAAAAGCTAGAATGACAGACTGCATCAAAACAACACATCCCAACATCCAGAATTTTCTTTTCCCCTAGATTTTTTTCTTTTTTTTAAATTTAAATTACAAACAAGCTTCCCTTCTATGTCAATCTCAGTTGACAAGAATTAACAAGAATGGAATAAATATTTTCAGAACAGTGACTATATGAAACAAATACCCACTTTTAGCAAAGCAGTAAAATACAAAAAAGTTGCCTTTTAAGATCCCAAGACGGAGCTGAACTTGGTAGTGCACACTTTTAATCCCTGCACTTGGGAGGCAGAGGCAGGAGGATCCATGTGACTGTGAGGCCTGCTCCATCTACAGAGTAAGTTGCAGGCCAGCCAGGGCTACCTAGTGAGACCCTGCCTCAAATCAATCAATCAATCAATCAATCACCGATCAATCAATCTAGGACATACATCTAACAACAAGCAAAAGAAAAGAGAATAATTCTGCAGCCACGGAAATACTTATTTTACCGTTTCTGTTCGTGGCCTTTTTTAGTAACGGGATGTAACTCAGGGCCTTGTAACATACTAAACAACTCTTCTACCATCTAGCTGCAGCCCATACTCATCTCTGTTCAAGTTGGTTCAAGTCCAGACTTGGACACCCAAAACAGAATTTTATTTTCAAATAAAAGCAAAGCAAGAAATGTCAGGTTACTATATTTCTAAATCCTAATCCCAAGAAGAAAACCATGACATCATTTATTCACCTTGTTTGGCGAAGTGAATTTAGAATGGGTGGGTATAAAATGTTAATGCCATAGACGGGCAGATGCTGTTGCAGAGTTGAATGTCTACTACTGTAATGCTTGCTAACAGAAATGTCTCAGATTTCAGAAGAGGGTACGTTAAGGACTAGAAACATGAAAGTCATTTATTTCATGTACAGTTTAAATGTATTTCCTGAAGAAAATTTTGTTTATAATCTGCAGTTCTGGGGGTTGAGTTCAGGTAGACTCTTGTGCAAGCTAGGCAAAATTACAGGCCCGGAACATGAAGGAATTTTTAGGTTTGTTTGTTTTGTTTTTGAGACATGGTTTCTCTGTGTAGCCCTGGCTTGTCCTGGAGCTTGCTCTGTAGACCAGATTTCTCCCTCCTGCCCTCCCTCACCCCCAGGATTAAAGACTTATGTCCCTAGCACCCAGTTTTTTTTTTTTTAAATCAGGACAATAGGCAAACTAGGCAAGTATTTTGCCACTGACCGCAGCCTGGTGGTACTAGTGGTAATGATGATGAGAGACAGGGTCTCTCTACATGGCTGCCTGGCTGTCCTAGAACTATGTAGACCAGGCTGGCCCCCAAATCCTCATGCTTCTGGTGGGATTAAAGTCATGGGGCAGCCCACCTGGCTCAGCCTGGTGATTCTACAGCAGTCTTAGGAGCTATGTGATGTCTACTGCCTTGTTACCATGAAGCCAGAGGCTTTTGCTACATGGCTGCACCAGCTTCTGAGTTATAAAAAATAAACTTTTCTTTCTTGTTTTTGAAAACAATGTAATTTTTAGTCTGCTTAGAATCTGACTATGACATAACATGATGTGAAACATGGATTTTCTACTTTGAGTGTCACGCTGGTGTTCAAAGTGTCAGATTTTAAAGCATTGTGGAGATTATAAAAAGGGATTTTCTGTGGATTTTATTTTTTATTTTATTTTTGAGACAGGGCCTCAGTGTGTAGCTATGGCTAGCCTGGAACTCACAGAGATCTTCACATCTCTGCCTCCCAAGTGACAGGATTAAAGGTGTGGACTATCAGATCCCAGAACAAAGGAACTTAGTTGAAATTCATGCTCTCTCAAAATGAATGAATACAGGGGCTTTCAAAAATGAATACAGGGGCTAGAGAGATGGCTCAGAGGTTAAGAGCACTGGCTGCTCTTCCAGAGGATCTGAGTTCAATTCCCAGAAACCACATGGTGGTTCACAACCATCCCGTAATGAGATCTGGTGCCCTCTTCTGACATGCAGGCATACATGCAGGCAGAACACTGTACACATAATAAATGAATTAAGTCTTTAAAGATTAAAAACAAACAAACAAACAAAACAAACAAAAAGAATACAAAGAGCCAGGCATTGAGTTTGAAGCCATCCTGCATATGAGTTCCAGGCCAGTCAAAAGACTACATTGCTGTCGAATATTATTTTATTTATTTATTTATCTATTTATTTTGTTTTTCAAGACAGTTTCTCTGTGGCTTTGGAGGCTGTCCTGGAACTAGGTCTTGTAGACCAGGCTGGGCTCCAACTTACAGAGATCCGCCTGCCTCTGCCTCCCGAGTGCTGGGATTAAAGGCGTGTGCTGCCACTGCTCATCATAGAATACTATTTTAAGATGTGTTACGTTTGTTTATGCTGTGGAACATTTGTTTTAGTGATGCAAAGATGTGTTGCATTTGTTTAACTCTGTGAAGCTGTGCTACTCTGCCTGTCTAAAACACCTGGTGGTCTAATAAAGAGCTGAACGGCCAATAACAAGGCAGAGAAAGGACAGGCGGGGCTGGCAGGCAGAGAGGGTAAATAGGAAGAAAAGAGGGATCGGCAAGCAAGAGGACAAGGAGAGTAGGATGGAGACAAGAAGAGGCCAGCCACAGAATAAGAGGAAAAGTAAGATTATACAGAAGTAGGAAAAGGAAAAAGCCCAGAGGCAAAAGGTAGATGGGATAATTTAAGAAAAGCTGGCTAGAAATAAGCCAAGGTAAGGCGTAAGAATGTGTGTGTGTGTGTGTGTGTGTGTGTGTGTGTGTGTGTGTAACAGGCACATAAATCTACAGATTCATGCCCCATGTGTGTGCATATGAAGGCCAAAGAGCACATCGGGTGTCATCTTCTATCACTTTCTACCTTATGACCTCCAGACACCATCTTCCACTGAATCCGAAGCTAGCCATTTTGGCTATGCTAGCTGGCCAGGGAGCTCCCAGGGTGCACCTGTCTGTGCCCCCACACCCCCATGCTGGAGTTCCATGTGAGCAGTCATGTGTGGCTTTATGAGGTGCCGGAGAGGGAACTCAGGTCCTTATGTCTGCACAGTAAATAATCTGTGCCCCACAATTCGTTCCTCAACTGCCAGGTCCAGGCGTGCTGGAGGCTGGGCTTACCTGGTTTGCACAGGGCTGGGGCAGCGGCAGGAGCACTGGCTCTTCCAAATGGCACCACTGGCTCAGCAGGGTGATCCCATCCACTGCCACTGCTGGGAGGCTTCCCCCATGCTGCCGTGCCATTGTCAACCAGGGGCGATGGAGAGGATGGCTCTCCCCATGAGTTCTCAGCCTTGGAGTGAACACTGGGCATTTCTCCCCAGCCCGATGAAACTGGGGAAGAGAGAGGTGCAAGAGAAACTGAAGTTAAGCTGTGACTTTCCAAATCAACAAACTCATCATCTGCACCTCTAAGGAGTGCCTGGCCTGCCAGTGCTGCCAGTGACAAGGACAGTGCCCAATACCTGCGTGGCTACAGTGGGCTGACTAGCTCAGAGAGGCCTGAGAAGACAGCACAGGATCTAGCCAGCTCTAAACTGTTAGGTCTCAACATGAGTATTACCTCAATTGTGAAATTAGTTAATTTTCTTACTAAAGATAGCATAGAATTGGTTCCCATGACACTTTTTTAAAAAAAATAAAATGTAGTAACCCCGATTAACGACAAAAGCACATGTAGCTATGAATCATTTTCAATTACAAGCTGTCTGCTCAGCAACAGTTTAAGCAAACTGACAACAATAACTGCTAAGTTATTAGCCCAGTCAGTTACTGCTGGCAACTGCTACCTGTAATTTCACAGAAAGCAGCAACCAAAACTGGAGATGCAGTTTTACAACTTAAAGGGGCAATTAAATGAAGGCAATTCCCACAGCTGATGTCTGACTGTGACCAATCCACAGGCAAGTACTGAGTCAGCATCAGAGTGAGCAGTGACTCTCCTGACCTGGTGCCCCCCCCCCCCCCATGTCTCTGCAAGGCCAGACTGCTTATTATTAACAGGATAATAAGTAAGTGAGAACTAAGTATAATAGACCATAGTAATTAGTTAATCCATTTTTGTGGAGAGTTTTGGTTCCTGTTGAAAATCAGTAGAAAACCCTACAAAATATTTGCACGTAGCAAAGAATTCACCACCTTACCGTTTAAAGCCTTGGGGTTAAGTGGAACAGTCCTTGCTGACTCAAAAACCAAACAAGCACTTTCCCTGGGCTAAACTGATCTCTGGCAAGATTCACACAGACCCAGGAAAAAGAAATGAGACAAACTGAAACATATTAATTGGTTGTGGTGCAAAACACACACTTTCAGTTTATAGAAAATAATTTTAGATGCACAGCATTAGGATAATGTCCACTGCTTAGTGTTATTGTTAGAGCAATCCTGTTATCTTTTGGTAAAAAAGTTGGATAGATGGGCCAAGCTTTAATTACATTTAAAACATTGATGTTAAAATGAAGAAAATTACCTGTTAGGGGCTGGAGGGTGAAGCTTAGTGGGAGAGTGTGCAAAAGCACCCAAGACCCTGTGTTGTATCCTAAGCACCCCAAAACAACCACACCACTCCACAAAAAACAACCAAACACCCCCCTCTGAATTTTTCAAATACTATCATTTTTTGCCAAAAGTCTTTTTCTTCTTTTGTGTGTGTGTGTGTGTGTGTGTGTGTGTGTGTGTGTGTCTTTTTGGGTTCACTTTTATAAGAACTCTGGGGGCCACACTTTATTTCCCACTGTGTTAGCCATTTAATTATTTTGAAACGAAGGCCCCACAGATGTAGCCTGTGTCTGTGGTTTACAGGCTTTCACACATGGGCACCCTTCTCACTTCTATAACAGACCTGCCAGTCCTCATGGACCTACAAAATACAGGAAAGCAAAATCTACCCACCCTAGCCATAGCTATAAAAAACACAAACCACTCAAATCACTTCTCTGTTAAAAACTATTGCAGTGTTGCTGAAAACTGAATCCCTCTGGCTGGAGACTGGAAGGTAATGTCTCGGTGGTGTCTTGCTGACTCACACTGAAGAAGAGTAAAGAACGTTCCTAGGATGAGGGTCTCCAAGTTTGCAGCAAGGACACAGTTGTCTAGCTTTTGCTACTCTTAGGACTGCAAAGATCACCAATCCCCCACCTAGGCAGAGTCCCGTTTTCCCATGTCTCAGTGTAGTGAATGTAGAGAAAGCTTGTCTCAAGCCTTCTCCACGATGAAGTCACATGATCTCAGTCTTTATAAACCTTACAATACTTGTGTCAGAACAGTAAGCTTTGGGGTAGTAGCAGAGCATGCAAATGCAAAGTCAAACTTGTAGTTAGCTTCAGCCTTTCGGGACTTTTAGAGCCAACCACAGCCTCCTGGTGAGCAGCCTCAAACTTGCTGCAGCTGTCACAGTGACCCCAAGGAAGTAAGAGCAATCAGTCAGCAGGACACAGGAGTCTTGCAAGCCAAGTGCACATGGAACTACTTGTTTTACTTTGGCACCATTGGGTGTCTAGAGGCTCCGGAAGAAATGTGACATGCTGAGACTTCTTTTGGTGTTGGGCAACAGTTCAGTCTCCATGAGCCCATGGCAGTCACTCACCTTGCTTGGATCAACTACACATGCTGCCCTCCACATGCGTCTCTTCCCAGTACCAGTCCCTCTAAAACTCATCAGAGCACTTAGGTAAAACGACAGCGCTGAAGGATGAGACACAGACTCTGGAAGCCAGGCCCAGGGTGGAAGGCTTGTAATCCAACACTGGAGGCTGGGGCAGGAGGGTCACTGCAGGTTCAGATACCCACCCCTCTACAAGCAGACAAAACCTAACCCAGTCAGGTCCCACAGCTACACTTAGAGACCAGCTACTGCCGAGGACCTGCACATGTTAGTTATATTACCAGCTACACTTCCTGTGTTGTTTGCAAGCTACGTCACTGCCCAAGTATACTAGATAATCAGACTGCCTGGCATTTTTCAGAATCTGCTTTAACCCCTTAGAAACAAATGCTGTGTTTATTCTTCTTATTCTTGGCCACACCCCCCAGAGGTCAAAGCAGCAGCCTGGTTCCCAGATCCACCAGACAGCCCGTCTCAGAGTAAGCAGTCAGGTAATGTCACCAGGAGGGAACACCATATAGTGCAGTACAGTGCTGTGGCCTGGCATCCCATGTCAGTATGGCCCTGTGAGTGCTCCATAAGCAGTTGGCAATCTGATAAAATGACAGGCACAGATATATTTCTTCTGGCTATTATTGCTGTTCTAACCCCAAGGTGTGTGTGTGTGTGTGGGGGGGTGTGAGTCAGGTTCAAACAAACCAGTTAGCCAAGCTACAAAGAATTTCCTAACAGACATGGATGTTACTGAGACTCCCAGAATATTGTTGTCAATGTAAGAACAGTACAAAAGTGTCTTGTAGCAATTACCCTAACAAGACTGAAAACACAAAACTGTGTTAATGGGGAAGCTGTATTTTGTAAGACGGGAGAGATTAATACTTTACTGTTCATGACTGGCAACTTAAAATCCAAACTCTGGTGCAAATCTGGATTACGGAAAACCAGCACAGGTCAACAGCAAAGCAGTAGAATACCTACAAAATACCAAGTCTATCAACAACAAAGATGTGGTCAGCCACTACGAACGATGGCTTCTCTCTGGACAACAGATGATCTCAATAGGGCTATGGAGAACCTGTGCTTGTGCTCCAGCCCCGTCTGATCCAGCCTGGCAGCTGCTGTGGCTGTCAGCCAGCTGTTTGTTACCTCCCTGGGGTCAAACAACAGCTTCGCCTAACAAGTTTGCAAAGACACAGGCTCTGGTGACTGGGGATTCTGAGGGGGTTTGCTTTAGGTCTGAGATCTGAGTACCATCTCGGTAGAAGAGAGATTGATATTCTAAGAAAAATATACAACACCATCACTATACAACATATTAATCTTGACAGTTTCTATATAGGGGCTGATCAGATGGGGGGGAAAAAAACAAGTTTTGTCTTTGTTAATAGTATCTAAAACACAGCAGCCTGTGATACTGTTATGACACTGTTACAACTCTAAGAATATTCAGACTCCAGAAGCCGGAGGGGACACAGGGACTTGGAAGTGTGTGTCACAGTACATTTTTTCTGCTTTTGTATTTTTTGTATTTGGTAGTCATGGGTGCTTTTTTCTTTCCTTTTTTTTGTTTTTGTTTTTTTGTTTGTTTGTTTTTTTCGAGATAGGGTTTCTCTGTGGCTTTGGAGGCTGTCCTGGAACTAGCTCTTGTAGACCAGGCTGGTCTCGAACTCACAGGGTTCAGCCTGCCTCTGCTTCCTGAGTGCTGGGATTAAAGGCGTGCGCCACCAACGCCCGGCTTCTTGGGTGTTCTTTAGATGATGCCTGAGGTTGTCCTCTAGTCTCCACACACATGCTCACACACATTTACACGCACCTGAATACTCCTAAGTGCATGCATACGTGGTGGGACTACTCATCGTGCTATGAGGGCCGTGGTGGTGCCCCTGCTGGTTTTTAGAGACAGGGTCTCACTATGTAACCCTGGCTGTCCTGGAGCTCACTATGTGGACCAGGTTGGCCCCAAGATCAGCAATTCTTCTGCCTCTACCTCCTGAGCCTTGGGATTAAAGTCGTGAACCATCACCCTCAGCATGTGGTGACCTTTTAAGTGCTAACTCTTCTTGGAGTACTTTCCATCTTTAACACATACAGATCACAATAGAGACTTGGTTCTACTGGCCTCTCCCACAACTGTGTCACTAATTCTGAACCAGTTTCTCACAGTAGCTCTGACTAGCTGACAACTTACTATGTATTCCAGGCTGGCCTCAACCTTCTGATCTTTCTGCCTTTGCCTCCTGAGGACTGAGATTAAAGGGATGTGCCATTATACCATATACTGCATTTTAATTTTCAAATTCTTCCTCCTCCTCTGGCTCTCCTAGAACTGGATCTGGCTGGCCTTAAACTCAGATTCATCTGTCTCTGCCTCCCCCCCCCCTGCCCCGCGCCCAAATGTCTTTCCTCATTTTCCTCACTCTTTCAAGTCTTTAAAATTTGAGTTCTTAAAAACAGTCGTTTATCAGTTAAAGAAATACGAACTGGGACCCAAGAGATGGCTCAGTGGTTAAGAGCACTTGCAGTTCTTTCAACTGACCTGACCTTAATTCCCAGCACCCATGTCAGGCAGCTTCACAACTGGTCTGTAATTTCTCCAAGGCATGCAATGACTCTGGCCTCTGGGGCACCTGTACTCATGTAAACACATATCCACACGTAGACATAGCCCTACACATAACCAAATAAACAACCCAGGACCAGCATGTTGAGATGCCAAAGCAGCAGTCAGTTAACGCAGCTGGGTTCAGCACAACTGGGCCCAAAATGTCTGGCTAGTGCTCAATGTTACAGCACCAGGTTCCTCTGGGCTGGCACAGTGTGTAAATGGGTACACAGTCTTTCACTCCAGTAGAAAGCTGCCACAGGACAACAGTGTGTCCTTCTCTGAGGCTTCGGGTACAATCTGTGACTTATCATTCAGGGACATAGATGCCGAGAACTTCGGAGTGCAGCAAACATACCAGGGGAGATTGTGCAGGGCAGGGACATGCAAGTGAGCCCAGAAGGGGGCACTCCTTCTATCCCAGCATCTGTTCTACGCCCAGGCTTCACATCCAACCATGGCATGGCCCTCCTGAGCTCTCATGACCCTCCCTTTCCACCCTGCAGGCCCCACAGGTCAGGCAGGGGCTTGGCTGTTTTGCTACTTTCTGTGACTCTAGCATGAACACTGCCCAACCCAGAGGAGGCCCTACAGGGGCTCAACAATGACCGTTTTGTTCACTACTGGGCCCTTCGGGCATGGCCAACAATTTCTTTTGCCCTCTACACAAACATCACATCTCTGCTCGCCCTCCTTCTCTCCTCTCATGGCCTGCACCAATAGGTGCCCTCAAGTCCCGGCCACTGAGATGGCCTGTCTGGGCACTGGCCCTTTGCTTTGTCTACAGGCTGGAGCCTGGGTCTTCTTCCCTAGTAAACCGAGAGCCCTCTCCATCTGCATCCATCCTCTTCTCTACACCGGCCTTTCTAGTGATGTTCAAATGTGCTCACTTCTGACACTTTAAGTCTTATTACTTAAAGTTGCTTATTTCTTTAAGCAAGGCCTTCCTACGTGTTCTTCCCATTGTTCCCTGTGCACCACACGGAGTGGGAGGAGAGGATGCAGAGAGCTTGCACTGGTTTCTGGTACGGGACCTCTTCTTTAGGAGTCTGATGGGCTAGGACAGTGTTTTAAGCCAACATCTTCACTTTTTTTTTTTTTTAATGTTACAATTGCTTGTTTTTGAGGGGATGGGAAACTATGGAGTAACATTGGAAGCCAGAGAACAACTTGTGGGAGTGAGTTCTCTCCTTTTACTATTCAGGTTCCAGGAATCGACTCATGTTTTCAAGGCTAAGTCCCTTCATCTGCTGAGCCATCTCAAGGCCACTAAAGTCAGTATCTTCCATGTGGCAGTCAGCACTCAGCACCTACTCTAATGGCCTAAGCCTCTACCTAGGCCATAAGTAGAAGTGACACTCTCCTGCACAGTGGGCTAAGGATGACCATGAGAAACCGGTAAGAAACCTAGGAGGGAAGACTTCTTCCTCTTGCCTTTTATGGTTCATTTAAACTTAAGGGAAGCTGAGAGAATTAGATTAGAGGGTAGAGTGGCTGCCAGGCAAATATGAAGATGGCAGCTTAGGCCTGCCTGAAATCCCAGTGCACAGGGGCTGGAGAAGGAATCCACAGGGCAAACTGTCTAGGTGGAATGGCTGAACTGGTGTGCCTCAATATATAAGGTGGAATGTGATTGAAAAAGACACCTAATATCCTCGGGAGGCAGAGGCAGGAGGATCTCTGTGAATTCGAGACCAGCCTGGTCTACAAGAGCTAGTTCCAGGACAGCCTCCAAAGCCACAGAGAAACCCTGTCTCGAAAAAACAAACAAACAAAGACACCTAATATCAACCTCTGACCTCTACAAGTAACATAGATGTACACCTGTCCATTCACACGTCCACATATGACATCCATTCACATGTATGAACATGTGTATACACACAAGCATACTAAATGCATACCACCCTAAAAAATTCCAACAGAACCGGGAACAGGACTCTACACCTGGGACTTGGAGGAACAGGGTTCTACACCTGGGACCTAGTAACACCTGGATGGCTGGCAGTCCTCAGGACAGAATAGCTTTACCAAGAAGTAACCACATCTTAAGGCTGATCTGAGAAGAGTACGTGACACAGTCCACTTACAGAGTAGTGCACTTCTGGATGAATGAGCTGCAGTCTCCAAACACGCCACATACTTAATGCAAGGATGCTCTGTGCACAGCATCCTTCAGTTCAATGCTTCCCATAAGACCCCTAAAACCCCCCGGAAATAGTAACCACAGGAAACAGCTGTAAAAATGTGGAAAGCTTCTGTAGATGGGTAGACAAAGTAACCTCAGCCAATTGCTCAAGTTCTGCGTTATCGTCTCAAGGACAGAATTTTAAGTGCAACTACAGAAACGAGGCTGATTCAGGCCCTGGCTGTCTAAGACGAAAGGCATGAGGCCAGGAAGTCAGTCTGTGTGGCAAGGCCTCTAGATGCTTCTTCTAGCTCCTCACTTGTATCAGAGGTCTCAGAACACAGCTGTGCCATGAACTGGCCAGGGCTCCCTTCCACACACAGGGAGTGCTGTGCTGTATACAGTTCTCACAAACCACTAAGGCTGTTTTCATGCTTGGAGCATAGTACTTTGTACCATGGACCAATATTCTAGACGGAAATCTGAGGTTCCTGCTGGTCCTCTAAAGTCCCCCTGCATTGCCTACGCTTCAACATGGGCTCCTGTTCTCTTAAAACCACTTAAGCCACCCGTGGCTCTGGCTGGATTATCCCAGCATCTTCTTTTCCACTTGCACAGAGCAGAAACTCCAAACACAAGTCTTAGTGTGATTTTGAAATCTGCCTTTCAACTAAAATAAAAATAGAGTTGTATAATGAAGTTTTACAAACATAGTTTCATCTCCAGGAGGAACTTTAAAACTATCAGTGAAGACAGAACCATTAAATCAGGTTCTCTGGGACTGACAGACCACCTCAGGAAGTGCCAAGGCAATTTAAGGAAAGCCGGGGCTGAGAACCACTTGTTTTATCTAGTAATAAAGATATCTTGCAGAAGATACACTAAGGCAAGGGGTCCTGGGCTTCTTTCCTCCCGAATCTCATTGGTGCTGGCCCTGTCATGCAAAGGCTGGATTACGGTATGGGGCAGACCCAGACTGTTTGCACAGTACAGGGCCTAAGAATGAGCTTGTAACTTGATTGTGGTATTAACTAAGACCAAGTAAAGTTTCATCAACAGGACAAAGGCCAAGGAAATGCACAAAACCACCAACAAGTGATTTAGGCAGTCAGAATACAGCTGCACAGCAGGAAGATTTCAAAGTTGCTCCTATTAAAAAAAAAAAAAAAAAAGATGTCAACTGCCCAACGGTTCCATTACTGACAAAGAACCCAGACAAGCAGAGCACAGCACAAGTTCAAAACAAATTAGCCTGTGGTTGTTGGAAGGATGATGAAAAGGACCAAACCGGCTGGAAACCCTGGCTGTATTGAGGATACCCAGTGCTGCTTTTCCTTGGAAAGTTACCAGAGGATGGTGCCTTGTTGTTCCCTTGGAAACACCTACTCTACGTAGTCACTTGCTACGAGCATCAGTCCAAGGATTCACACATAGACACAGAGCACACACCACTGGTGTGACCAGAGGGCCCCCAGCATACCTGGCCCGAGCAGTGGCGACCGATTCAGCTGAGTGCCAGCCTGGTGTGAAGGCGGCGTCTCGGCCTGGTGTGTGGTGCTGCTCGAGGTGGGGGTCGTGGGGGTGGCAGGGGTTGTGGTACTGCTCTGGATGACTGGATTATTTCTGTCCCACATGTTTACAGTTTTATTGTTGTAGGTGCTTGGGTCCCCCCAAGCTGAGGTACCATCATCGATTTCCATTTTGCGTCGGATGGACGGTGGAGAAGGCTCCTCCCAGCCAGTTGCCTCACAGCTGTCCTTCTGCTTGACTGGCAGTGGCCCCCCAATCCACCCTGTCCCTGTCTGCTTAACAGAAGCAGCTCCTCCCCAGTTACTCACATTGCTGTCTTGGGGCTTGTGAGCCCAGCTCTGCTGGGGACCAGGCTTGAGAGACTCCCCCCAGTTTGTACCTGGGTTCACCTTAGCACTTGCGCCACTGGCCCAGCCACTGGTTCCACATCTCGAGGCATCGTTCCAGCCAGACCCTGACCTATTACCGTCAGCGTCCCATCCAGGTCCATTTTTCTTCCCATCCCCTAGATGTCCAAGGACCGAGGATGAATCTGCCCAGTCTCCTGCTCCTGCGCTCCAGGCTGGGTTTGCTCTTTGTCCATCTCCCCAGTTTTGAGATTTGGGTTTCTGAGGCTCACCCCAGGTGGGTGACTTGTCCTCCTGGTTTACGGTCCCACTCCAAGCATGGCCACTCTTGGTGGCAGCAGCATTGTTAACAGCAGTAGAGCTTATCGAGTCCCCCCAAACTCCTGGGCCACTTGGCGCTTTGTTGTTGCTGTCTCCCCAGCTTGTGTTTGCTGGCACGGCGGCAGGTGGTGAGCTGACCCACCCCGATACTGAAGAGGTATTTGTACTGTTCATGAGGGACCCATCACTCTTCCCCCCTGAGTTTGAAGGCTGAGTAGCTGCACTACCCCAGGCCTCTGTCCCATTGTCATTTTTCCTTTCAGACCTAGGGGACTCTTCAAATTCCCAGGCAGTGTTTTGCTTTACAGGAGTCTGTCCCCAACCAGTATTAGACAGAACTCGTGGGTCAAGATCGCCCCTGGGCAACTGGATGTGCCCTTGGTCTCGCCTCCTGCCCTCACCCATTGCTTCCCGCCCAGCGCCCCCTTCACTGTGATGGCCAGAGCCATCACTGCTCCCTTCGCTTGGCGTAGTTCCAGAAGATGTGGCTTTGGCCCACGAGCTCACGTGTTCACTGCCAGGCTGCAAGGCAGGTGGCTGGCTGGCAGCACTGGGACTGTCCCACCCTGTTGATCCTTTCCCACTGATGTCACTACTGGAATGCTGGTTTGGGAGCTTCCCCCACTCCCCATTCATACCATTAGAAGAGCTGCGGCTGGGGTGGCCCCAAGCTCCTGAATGGATATTACCAATGCCATTGTTGCCACTGCCCCTTCCCCAGGCAAGGATGCCAGGACCCGCAGGTGGCCCCGAGTCCCAGGCATTCCCTCCGTTCCCTTCCTTTTGCACAGCACTGCTGGATCCATTCTGTTTAGCACTTAGTGCTGAGTTCACAGTGTCTCCATTCCCCTGACTGAACCCAGAATTGTTATTTCCTGTGGCAGGATTACCAGGGGACAGTCCCCACACAGAACTGCCCATTCCTTCCCCACCACTTCCACTGCCTTGAGAGACTGATGATCCGTTAGCACCAGGAAGGCCTTGCAGGTGGGGCGGGATGATGGCCCCCATGCCAACAGCCATGCCCCAGTTTGGCAGTCCGTTCGTCTGCATTGCATTGATAGGGTTTGGTGAAGAGTTCATGGGGTTAGTGTTATTTGATCCATCAGTGTTAAGGTTCTGAGGTTGTACGCTGAAAGACACATTCTGACAAGTGGACGTCTGTGGTTCTGTGCTCTCTTGGGGCAGCAAGTTTCCCCAGGCACCTACTGTGCCCACTGGGTTCCCATTCTGGCTGCCCATATTCTGACCTATGGCACTGACTGGACTGCAAATACTGGAAGGGTTGCCTGTTGCCACAGTTCCTTCATGCCCGAGTACAGGCCAGGCAGCTGGGTTGGCATTAGGGTTAAGGTTGAGATTAATGCCCGCATTGGAGTTGGAAGCACCCCAACAATTTTGACTTCTCCCATCTCCAATCATGTTGTCCATTTTTCCATCTCCACCACCAACAGAGCAGTGAGTCAGGCCAGAGCTGGAGCCTGTGGCTACACCCCACACTCTGGCCACACCTCCATTCCCGTTGGTTCCACCTGCCCCAAGGGCACTCTGATTAGAAGGGCTTTGGACGAGTGCACCATTGGTGCCATTATTGCCATTTGTCTTCTTGGGATGTCCTGTGAAGCTGCCCTGGGTGCTCCCTGTAGCCATACTACTGTTCTCTGAGCCACAGGTGGAGGCAGAGTCAGTGTCCGCAGGACATTCTGAGGCAGATTCAGTCTCTGTGACGGGGATGGACGGCCACACCTCCTGGTCAGTCCTGTCTAGCGTCACTTTATCCCAGCCGCAGTTGGCTTCACTTCTGTAAGAGGGCTGCTGTCCCCAGTGGGAATTTTCATAATGATCTGCCAATCCACTGTGACCAGGATCTGAAAAAAGATGAAAGGAAACTCAAAATTATATTCTCTTCCCACTTGCCACTGAATCAACTCTAACAACTAGTTTTGGGGAGAAAATAATTATTTTTTAAATCTCGTTCTCAATTTTAAATGATGAATGCAAAAAAAAAAATCTTAAAGGGGCTGTTGGTGGGGCTTAGAAAACTTAAACAAAAAACAGACCCTTAAGGCTGTTCATGTCTTCTTAACAGCTACATTGATGACATGGTGATGATTGGATTACATGAGCAGGAGGCAGCAACCAAAATTCAAGGATCTTCTACCCCAGTGAAATTCTTAGGTTTTGGGCATGCAGAAATATTCCTTTTAAGGTGAAGGGTTAGTTATTGCACGTGGCCCCTCCCATCATCAGGAAAGAAGCACAACATTTAGTGGATCTATTTGGACTCTGGAGACAGCACATTCCCCACTTGGGTGTGTTACTCTGGCCCATATACCAAGGGACTGGCAAAGCTGCCAGCTTTGTGTGGGGCCTGGAACAGGAGAAGGCTCTTCCACAGGTCCAGGCTGCTCTACCACTTGGACCACTTGATCAGCAGACCTAATGGTTCCCGAGGTGTCAGTGTGCAGATAGGGATGCTGTTTGGAGCCTTTGGTAAGCCCCTTTGGGTGAATCACAGAAGAGATGGCTCCACCATTATCTCCAGCCAATTATTTTCCATTTTAAAGAGAGGTCTTGGCCTGATACTGGGCCTTAGAAACTGAACACTGACAATGGGCCACCAAGCTACCATGCGGCGTGAGCTGCCCATTGTGAGCTGGGTGTGATCTGACCCACAGAGTCATGAGGAAGGACGTGCACAGCAGCGATCGATTGTCAGATGAAGAGGTGTGTACGCGGCAGTGTGTACGCGGCAGTTCCGAGCGGCCCTGAAGGCACTGCATGAACAAGCTGCCCACATGCGCTATGGTTTTCACTGCTGTTACGATGCTGTCAAGCGTACACCTATGACCCCATGGGGTCGGCTAAACAAGAGAAGAGTGGTTTATTGATGGTTCTGCACAGTATGCAGGCACCACGCAGAAGTGGACAACTGCAGCGTTACAGCCCCTTTTTGGGACAACCCTGAAAGACACAGGTGAAGGGCAATCTTCATAGTGAGCACAACTTGGGGCAGTACACATGGTCATGCGTTTTGTTTAGAAGGAGAAATGGACACACGTGCCACTGTTCCAACTCATGGGCCGTAGCCAATGGATTGGCTGGATGGTCAGGGACTTGGAAAGAGCATGATTGGAAAACTGGCAAGAAAAGACATCTGGGGAAGAATGTGGCCAGATGTCTCCAAACGGGCCCAGGATGTGAAGACACTGTGTCCCATGTAAGTGCTCACCCGGAGCAGAGGAGGAGTTCAGTAGTCAAGCAGATAGGAAGACTGTTCTGGGGATAGTCAGCTTCTTGCTGGTTCCCAGATCTGTCAACAGCTGGAACCAACACAGAGCCCCTGATGTGACACCATTCCCCAGGGTCACCTGGTGGGTGACAGGCTGACTGCAATGGATTACTACCTCCATGGAAAGGACAATGCTCCATCCTTACTGGAGCAGACTTATTCTGGTTATGGATTTGCCTTTTCTGCACATAAGGCTTCTGCCAAAACCACCATCTGTGTGTGGACTTAGAGAGTGTCTGATCCACCATAATGACATTTCACACAGTATTGCTTCTCACCAGGGAGTTCAGAGAAGTGCAACAGTGAGCCCACAACCCTGCAATCCACTGGTCTTACCATGGTCTTCAGCATCCTGAAGCAGCTAGCGGCCTTGAGAGGACAATGGAATGGCCTTTTGAAGACAGTTACTGCACCAATTAGGTGCAGCAGCCCAAGGGATGGGCAATGTTCTCCAGAAGGTGTTATATGCTTTGGACCCCCCAGAAGGGTCCAATGTATGGTACTATTTTTCCCATGAGCCAAGACCCACAGGTTCAGGAATCAAGGGGTGGAAAAGGGAATAGTCCCACTCAGTATCACCCCTAATGACCTACTAGGAAAATTTTACCTTCCTGTTCCTACGACTTTAAGTTCTGCTAGTCTAGAAATTTTGGTTCCAGAGTGGGGAGTGTTCCTACCAGGAGCCACAACAAACATTCCATTGAACTGGAAGCTCAGACTTCCCTCTGGCCACTTTGGGCTTCGGATGCCCTTAAGCCAAGAGGCTGGGAGAGGAGTACCAGTGTCGGAGGGGTGATTGGTCCAAATCACCAAGGGGAAAGGGATTGCTTCTCCACGGTGGAGGGAAGGAGGATTATGTCTGGAGTGCTGGAGATCCTTTAGGGCATCTCTTGGTGCTACCATGTCCCGTGATTAAAGTCAACGGGAACTACAACAGCCCAATCCAGGCAGGATGACAAAGGGCACAGACCCAACAGAAATGAAGGTAAGGGTCCCACCTCCAGGGAAAGACCCAAGACCTGCTGAGGTGCTTGTTGAGGGTGGAGGAGACACACAGCAGGTAATGGAGGAAGGTGGCTCCAGGCAAGACCTCATGACCAACCTCGAGGCGGTGGCACATGCCATTAATCCCATCACTCGAAAAACAAAACAAAGCAAACATGCGTGCTCCTGTCATATTTTGTTAAGAATGTGTTTCTTAAAAAAAAAAAAAAAAAAGAATGTTTCTTTTCCTCAATTTCTCTCTCTGGTTTTTTGAGACATGGTTTCTCTGTATAGCCCTGGCTGTCCTGGAACTTGCTCTGTAGACCAGGCTGGCCTCGAACTCATAGAGATCCTCCTGCTTCTGCCCCCCCTACTTCCCCAGTGCTGGGATTAAAGGCCTGTGTGCCAACACTGCCTGGCCCTTTCCTCAATTTCTTTATCATGTAATGTAACATCAATTAAGAGATTACCAGTGATTATACATTAAAGGTTTCTAAAAGAATGTCCTGGGGCTGGAGAGATGGCTCCATGACTGTTCTTCCAGAGGGCCCAGGTTCAATTCCCAGCACCCACATGGCAGCTCACAACTGTAACTCCAGTCAGGTGACCTGACACCCTCACACAGACATACTTGCAGGCAAAACACCAATGCACACAAAAAAATATTAAAAAACTAAGAATGTTCAAGAGACATTGTCAATTTTCTTAAAATTTCTAATGCATTTGTGGTTGTACAAGGGATAATTATATCATGTTAGGTGCAATTATGGCCTGGTTAAATGTATAATGTGATTGTACATGGAATAGTTATGTCATGTTAGGAGTAATTATGGCTGAGTTATTGTTTTCCTTTGGAAACAAAGAATGGCATGAAATACGATTGTGTGCTAAGTTGACAAGGGGTGTTCTTGTGATGGCTATTCTTGGTCGTTGACTGCTTCTGGAATTAAGTAAAACCCAAGCAGGGAGGTACACCCGTGAGGGACTTTTTAATCTGGGCCACACCTTCTGCAGGCAGGCTGTGGAAAGGACATGGAAGAAACAAGTTTGCACTCTTTAACTGCTTGCTATCTCTAGCAAGTCCCTCCATTCCTTCACGGGCATTGCAGCACACTTCTTTGGAATTCTGGTGTCTACTGAAGACCATCGGAGACATCCAGCCTTGTGGACTGAACTACTACTAGATTCTTGGACCTTCCATTAGTAGACAGCCATGGCTTGTCTAGCTTCTAATAAACCCCATATAACAATTTTCATTCTGCAAGTTCTGTTCCTCTAGAGAACCCTGATTCATACATTCTCTTAATTCTGATGGAGCTCAGGAAGAGTTAAGGCTACACGTGAAGAACTGTCATAGTCACTGGAAAGAACACACTGTGGTCATGTCAACCCTTGAAAGCAGAGAGCTTTGTTGCCTGACACAAAAGTAATATAGCTAGGAGTGCTGGGGCACTCAGGTACGTCACCTCGTCCTGTGTAGCCCAAGGACTTCCTTTTTCTTTTTCAGATTTATTCTCTCTCTCTCATAAATATATATATATATATATATATATATATATATATATATATATCTCCTGCATGTGTAATGTGTGCCACAATGTGTGGTGTCTGGTACCTATGGAGGGTGTCTGAGTCTAGGATTGTAGACAGCTGCCATCTGACATGTGGGTGTGGGGAATCTAACTCAGTCCTCTTAAACAATGACCCATCTCTCCAGCCCCACATGGAGTTTCCAAGGATAAAATCTACCATTCTAATGTGCAGCAGATCTGAGAGTTGGCAAGTTGAGAATCCTCACTTCTTTAAGACCTCACACCTAGGCGGGTGGTGGTGGCACACGCCTTTAATCCCAGCACTCGGGAGGCAGAGGCAGGTGGATCTCTGTGAGATTCCAAACGAGATTCTCCTGCTACCACACACCCTATCAAACACACAACTCCCCTGAAAAAAGAAAAGATAAATGAAGTTCAAAAGTAATGCTAAATTCTCTTTTCTCCTTGTGTTTAAATGGCTTAATGTTCTATAAATAGGAGTCTCTATAAAAATCTAAGCAACCTGTCTTAAGTCATTAAATCAAAAAGGATTAAATACTAGCAGGAAGGGAGAAGCTTCCTTCTTGGTTTTTAAATATGTAAATGTGACCATATGAGGATAAAATTTTCTAGGCAAAGTAGTTAATATAGACCTCCCAAAAGCTTCAGTAAGCAAAGTTTTAATTAGGCATCCAGTTAATGAGGGAAGTGAGGACAGTGTGCTGAATGCTTGAATCGGTGCCCACACTGACAGTGAAGGCAGGCATTTGTTGTTTATCACCACAGGTCTTTCATCTGAACCACAAAGCAATAAACTACAGATTAGAGAAAGCAGTCCCCAGTGGTTCCAACAGTTGACACTGTGTGTTCTTTAATATTTACCGAGAGCAAACATTCCTTGCTACCTAGTATTTGGGGACAGGGCAAATGTCACAGCTGTCTTTAGCTCTTGAGACCCTCCCTCTCTACCACATATAAATTTTACATTTCATGTAAAAGCCCAAGGGTGAAAGAGCTTTGTCTTCCAAAATCCATCAAGGGGCAGAATCGCTCACATCTCACTTATCAGTTGCTACCAGGCAATCAATAAGGTGGAACAAAGCAAAACTTTGCTGTAAACAGTGATGTCCAAAATGGTATTTCTGTAAAAGAGATGACTTCTCAAGGTTGAGAAGATGAAGAGACAGTAAGGAAATGACGTAGGAAGGGTGTGCCTGACTGGAGCCATGGGTAGCCGGGTAGGTATCAGGGACCAAAAATTATGGATTATAAAGTTTCTCGGGGTCCAAACCTCTGCTCTATTTTCCAGGAGCCTGTCTTTCAGATGCTGGATAAATTGCCACCAGATGGCTTGGCCTCAGTTACAGACCTGGGCTCTAGGTGTGCCCGCTCCTATTCAGAGAACTTGCTTACGTGCCTAGGGACTGTTTTGGTGCCTCTTGGAATTAAAAGAATTACTTGATATCATCTATATACATGATAGTAGATGCCTTCTGTGGTCACCCCCACTGTTGGAGAGCTATTAGAAGGATGATAAAATAAACTGGAGACTCTGATTTCCAGATGGACTGAGAGCCCTCCTGAAATGAGAAGATGTCTGTGTCTGGTCTTTATCGCTGTTGGGTAGCTAGGAGTTTCCCAGTCCAGCACCCCTGACTCAGAGACAGACCCGGGGCCATTTGACTGGCTCTGATCTCAGCCCCAGAGACTTCAGTCGGGAATAGGTAGCTTCTGTAGCATGGGACTGATACAAGCCGGGCCCCAGCAGGTAGACTGCAGCTCTCCCATGGTCTCTATTCTCAACTGGAGCCAAGAGCTGACACCACAAGCTGGAATCCAAAAACACTCCAGCTGGGGAAAAGCAGCTACTTCAGGCTCAGAGTCTGTTCTGTCTCTCCTGCTTTAGGGTTTGAAGAAATACCTGCAGATGGTACAGCCTACCTCCCAGGAACTGCCCTCTCTTGCAGAGTAGCCTCTGGCATCTGGGCTCTGATTGCAACATGACAGTCACTTCTTAGGCAACTGCCAGCTTTCTCCCAGCAGCCTGGCTCAAGCTACCTGCAGGTGCCGACCGTGCCAGCCTGGAATGGACCTGGAGATGTTTTTGCCACCTCGGAGAAGTGGCCCATCTTACCCCCTTCTAGCAGAAGTGGCGGCATCCGCGGCCGTGTTCTTTAAGCTTTAATGATCTAATTGTAGCTGACACTAAACCCATCTTCCTTCCTCTTTAAATTCTCTCAAGCGTCACAAACATTCTACCTCAGGACAATAATTAGCACCAGAGCCACTCCTACCCCTTTTTCTTTTCACTGTTTGAAAGCTAGCCAAAAAAGTGTAACAGCATGTTGCCTACTGGCTGAATGCAAATAAGCTGGTATTTCCCCACCCACCTTTCTTTTAACTCCTCCTTGCCCCCCTCAACACCTGCAGACCAGCACTGGAATATTCCAGAGTGGGGTGGCGGGCCCCCAAAGAGAAGAGCCAAAAGAGTAAAATAACAACTACTACAACTGCATATGATTCTGCAGGCACAGAATTCACTCTAATAAGCCTGATACTAGAAAACAGAGCTTCAACTGGTAGATCATTATAAAAGTCTGTTTCTGTTCTAAACTTGACTAAGTTTCATTGCCACATCATATTATTAAACATTACCAATGTCCAGATGTAATAATAGTAGTTATTATTTTGAGACTAGGTTCTACTATGTATCCCTGGCTGGAACTTGTTTCATAGACCAGGCTGGCCTTGAACTCACAGAGATCCACCTGCCCTCCCACCTCTCACTCTCTCTCATTTATTTTTTACATTCCAATCCCAGTTCCCCCTCCCTCCTCTCCTCTAGCCTCCCCCACCCTCCTCCCATCTGCTCCATGGAGAGGGTCAGGTTTCCCCTAGGAAGTCTACTAAGTCTGTTCCACCATCTAGCTGAGGCATCACCTGCCCCTAACTCTGTAGGAGTGCTAGAATTAAAAACATGCATTACCATGCCTGGCCAGAATTTATTTTTGCATGCAATTATCAGAAACCTTGGTCATCCTACAAAATGGGATAAATGTTGACAGCAGTAAGCTTTATGTGACAATACACCATCTATAATAAGTCAACACAGAGGGGGATGACGGAACCTGGGATCCGGAAGGAAAAATGTGTATTACTGTTCTCCAGAGACCTGCAGGTTAGCAAGCATGTAAATGGTCCTCAGCCATAGGCTGCCCAGGCCCAGGCATATAGGTTAATGGAAGAATGTTTAGCATGCACAAGGCCACGGGTTTAATTCCCAGCCCTGAAAGACCATCGTGACACACACACACACACACACACACACACACACACACACACACACACACACACACGGCAGAGGTCATAATTGCCATGGTCAAGTCATTCTACCTCTGACACATGTCCACTTGCCTGTCAGGTTCAGTGCTGTGGAGCAGAGGGTGCCCACTGAGCAGGAGCCTGTAGGAAGCAAACACTTCCACAGGTTTAGCAGTTAGCTCCAGGTATTTACTGAGCACTCAAAATGCAGACAAATCCTGCCACTGGCCCTCAACAGAGCCTGCACCTATTCACACGCTCTTCAGGCTTACAAGCTGCCTGCCCCGAGTGGCTTCTGAGTCTGGACAGGACTGAAGGAATTTAGTACTTAGCATTTAGACCAACAACTGGTAAAGAGGACCAGTAAAATAGTCCGACTATTGTTAGTCTAACAGGGAACAAGATGTTAAACTTTGAGAAGAAATGGGAGGCAGACAGAGCAGGGGATAAAATAAGAGGGATTAAGTTTTGATGCAAGCAGAGAGCTTATTATTCCTCTGGAATATACTGGAATGTACTAACAGACCTGACCTAGGTTTGGCTTTAGTACGTCATTTGAACCATGAAAAAGAGACGCGCCTACTCACAGTAGGTTACATACAAGTCACAGAGGTGAGAAAGCAGTAACTGCACTATGTGGTAGCACGGAGTCAGTAAGACTAAGAGTTTTAAAACACTGCTTCATAACTGCTTCAAACAGATGGGTCTTCGCTCACTCGCCATCCCCGTCTTGGCAGTCACTGGCATTTGCTGACACCTGTTACAGGCAAGGTGATGCACAATGTAAAACTGAAACCATCTGCCAGCAGCAAGGAGGGACCTCTTCACCCGATCCAAGTGCCGAGTGCCAGGTGTATAAGTGACCCGGCAGCTGTGGTCTGGAAGGAGAATCTGGCCTGGCTCTGCCATACTGTGTGCATAGCCACTAGCCTACAATTCTTATGGTTATTCTACAACACCATGTCATCTAGCAATGCCCACCTTGGACAACTCAACTTCTGTGGAATAGTATTTGAGTTAGAAAGGAAAAGGAACAAACTCTGGAGACTTGAGTCATGGAGACCAGAACCTCCTTTTTGACGAGTGAAGGACTAGCTGGTGGCAGCACCAGTACTTCTAGGTCTCGCCCCACAGTTTGGAGACTTTTCCATTCTAAGTCAGTTATTCAATAGAAGTTCTGACACTCTGTTGGCTGTTTTCAACTTAGCTGAGAGGTGAGACACTAATAAACTCACCAGCAGAAGATGCAAGTGGCACAGGGCAGTACCCAGAGCTACTCCCTGCAGACTGGCACATTACAGCTCCAAAAGGAGCGATGGAGACAGCAGGAGGAAGCTCTGGACAGACAGACAGTGACAGGGTAGCCCTTTACATGGACCCTGTGAGATGGTCAGGGCAGAAAACAGGTCACGGAGAGGATAAGTGTAGACCAGACACAGCTGTGGTGGCAGAAAACCAGAGTCTGCCATTAGGAACACGGCAGGTATCTGAGTGGGCTGCTGAGTCAGCGAGGCAGTAGGAAGATCCTGCCGGCAGCACTGCCAGAGAGTGCTGGGGAGAAGAGAGACAGTGTTTGTCTGGGAGTCAAGAGCCAATTTCTCATTCATACTCATTATACAGACTGAGTCAATTTTCAGACATATTTTTTTATCTATAAAATGAGTTATAGTCTAAATGCGTGCGCGCGCACGCGCGCACACACACACACACACACACACACACACACACTGTGTATTTGCATGTGTGTTGTATGGTGACCATGCAAGTATCTATATATGCCCCCCACCCAGTTAGTGTGTGTGTGTATGAATCGATATAGCTACACATTTTTCTAAAACAAGGGTCTCACTATGTTGCCCAGGCTAGCCCCAAACTCTAGGACACAAAAGCTCCTCTCACCCCAGCCTGAGCAGTGGAGACCATGGGCATATGGAAGGAAAGCCTCAGCACTGGGGAGCAGCTCAGGAACCAAGCAGCTGCCTCATAAATAGCCAGGCCCTGGTCCCATCCTAACACTGAAGAAGGAAAAAGCCCCATTCTTCACACTGTTTACCTGGTTGGAGTTTGCTGGGATGTTGCTGTGTCCCAGCTCCAGGGAGGGGAGGAGGGCTTGCTCCTGCTGGGCTCACACTGGTCAGAGTCCCTGTGGGCAATGGCTGGCCTCTCTTTAGCAGCTGCTTCTGTTCTTGCTGGCGAAATCGTGGAGGCACCTCCCGAGGCAGGTAACGGGATGCAGCTGGCTGCTGGCCACAGGCAGATGCACGTTTGCCATTGCTGCTGCTAGAGATAGTGCTGGTGGAAGCGGTACCGGTACCGGCAGGTTGGGGCTGGCTTGAACAGGTCTTAGTGAGTTCTGGCACTGAAAAGACCCAAAGGAAAAACAATGACCCAAAGCTTTAGTAACCTCTAAATAAAATAAAACTCAAATAAACAAATACAGCTCCAAGGACAAACTGTTCTTGTTTACTGCATATGTAGGTCCCAAACCTGTGTGAATGGAGGTATGAGCAGCCACATGACTTCTGATGCTAACAATGTAATACTCTACAGCTTGGGTTATGTCAATGACAGGGGTGAGCACCATGGGGTTGACATTTATGGCTGTGCCCTGCTGCATACTTGCTGACAAGGATGCGGTGGCCTGCTTTACCAGCACTAACAAGCATCTCAATAAAAAAGACATTTTGTGTCAGGTGCAAAAGCTCTGTTCCTTAACACTCAGATGCACCTTCACCTCGAATGTGAACAATTATCCAGAATATACAGATGGAAAGTTTAGACCTACTTAATTTGTGAATGCCTTTCCTTTTGTGTCGGAAGAAAAGCTTTCTACAAACGAGTTAAGAAACAATCCAGTTACAGGGCTGGAGACATGGCTCAGCCGTTAAAGGCTAGGCTCACAACCAAAAATGTACCACGGCTGTCTCTCCAGCCACAAGGGAGTGGGGGGGTGAGGGGATAGGGGGAAGGGAGAGGGAGAGGGAGAGAGAGAGGGGGGGGCGCAGGGTGGTGGTGGCGCACTCCTTTAATCCCAGCACCTCGGGAGGCAGAGGCAGGCGGATCTCTGTGAGTTCGAGACCAGCCTGGTCTACAAGAGCTAGTTCCAGGACAGGCACCAGCAGAGAAACCCTGTCTTGAAAAACAAAACAAAAGAAACAAACAAGCCACTGAACTCTCTCTCTATAGTGATTTATACTAAGTAAGACTCTCAGGGTGACTTTTTTGTTTGTTTCTCGAGACAGGGTTTCTCTGTGTAGCCCTTGCTGTCTTCAAACTCAGAGATCAGCCTGCCTCTACATCATGAGTGCTGAGACTGAAGGTGTGTGCCACCATGCCCAGCTTCAGGATGCCCTTTCTAGAGCAAGTTCCTGTCCTAGTGCTTCCTGCTAATCCTGGGTTCCTGTGTCAACAACCCATCCAAAGGCCTTTCATTTCTAAGCTTCTAACGCACTACCACTCTGCCATAGCCTCACATTCCCAGAAGATAAATGTGACTTTAGTCTGCAGAAAAAAGTAAAAACAATTAGGCAAAAACTTCGCCAAGTTTCTGACACTACAGAAACACAAACAACACACTGTTCTTTGTGCTACACATCTGCTAACTCTCATCTAAGGCTAAGACTGTAGTCTCTCACTGTGAGACACATTTCTCAAATGCTAACATCACGGAGAGGCACTGTTTGGCATTTTTGTTTTTAGTGGCAGGTGTGCACGCTTTGGGGCTCAGGACCAATGGTTGGGAAAGGAGAAGCAAGAGGGATACCCGGAATTTCCCACCACAACTCTCCAGAGCGGAATAAAACCTAAAGTTTGGGTCTTAGATTAACCTGTTTTATAGACATTTATAATACCTATATTGTAAATATATATTGCTTTAATAGGCAGATACCATTCTTTCAAAAGAAGTGGATTTAACGGTCACTCATGCTCCCATGGAGAGAGGAAAAGTGCACACTTCTTTCTCCCTGGTCCCCAGCTCTCCCAGCTTCCTTCCAGTCTCTCTGCTCCCTGTGAAGTCACGTCCTGGAGAGTCTGTGTAAGCTACTCTTCCTACTCCTTATCTCCCATCCCTCCCTGCCCTCCTCTTTAGTTTGTGACTTTTTTATTTGTCCATGGAGGCCAAGATGATAATAATGGCTTCCTGGTGCTTCAATCCACGTTCTCTGACTTTATGTTCTCACTTCCAGTCTTTTTTTTTTTTTTTTTAAGATTTATTTATTTGTTATATATACAATGTTCTGCCTGCATATCTGCCTGCAGGAAGAGGGCACCAGATCTCATTACAGATGGCTGTGAGCCACCATGTGGGTGCTGGGAATCGAACTCAGGACCTCTGGAAGAGCAGTCAGTGCTCTTAACCTCCAAGCCATCTCTCCAGCCCCTCGCTTCCAGTCTTGAGGACAAAAAACCTCTCCTGTGGTCACCAATGAGAGCCATTCTTGTCTTCCTGAGATTCTGCCTTCCTACTCTCCAGCCACAAAGATGACTTGATTAAGCCCACGACAACACAGCCCCTGAATCCGAACTAGAAGCTATGCCTTAAACTGCCTCTTCTACTATAGGTATGTATGTATGTATGTATTGTTTTTTTTTTTTTTTTTTTTAACAAAAGACCAAAGGAACCAGGAGGACGGCTCATCAGGTGGAGGCACTGGCCACAGAGCCCTTGAGCCTGTGTAACGGCAGAAAATCCCAGGGCCACATGTCACTGTGGCACGCACACCCACCGCATTCTGCAATACCCACTAACTAATGACGGGACCAAAGGACGGATTCAGGGCTACGTTTTGTTACTGTTAAAGCCATCACAGAAAAAGGAACTCACATTAGGTAAGCAAATGCTGTGAAACAGCCCCTTTGGTTTCAGTCCTCCCGTGCTGCGTGCCTGGCACATTAAGTGTGTCTGACATCCATGAGGCCTCCCCTTCCCCTTGATAACTGCTGAGGGGTGGGGGTGGGCAGAGCGTAGCAGAAACTATGAAGAAGGCTTCTCACAGTTTTGAAGGACGGGAGGAAGAAACCAAAGAATGCATGAGAGAGACCAGTCGTGGTCTCCTAACTCCAGTAGTTACCATCTAGCCCTTCACAGGACAAGTTTGCTGTTTACTGACAGGAACAGAAACTATTTATACTATTAGGCTATGGACACACAAGCCCTTCAGGAAAGGACTGCAGCCATGCATCCCCATGTCTCCTGCCATTACTTCAAAGAGTATGATTATGGACAAATCTGAACACATCCACCACCACCACCACCACCACCACCACCACCACCACCACCACCACCA